TTGCTATCAATTTGATCCAATTTGGTATCAATTTGATACTTTTTTTAAGAAAACTGTGCTCATTTGAAGGAAAGCGAAATCAAAGATTGAAATTCAGAAACATTGAGCCGACATAGCATCGGTCATGTTTCATATGATCGCGAGTATATAATATTAGGGGAAACCTAAGAGAAAAATTATAGTAAAAGTCAAAGATAGTCTTTAAATTTTATCATTGTTTCTAATATTACCTACATACACTTCTCGAAAGTTTGAACTTTCAATTTTTAACAAAATGTTCAAGTTAACACTGTAAAAAGAAAGGTACTAATTTAGTACCAAAATTGGTACTAAATCGTAATTTAGTTCTATTTTAGTACCGAAATCAGCTCTAATTTAGAACCTTTTTTTATAGTGAAATTAGTAAATAATAATAATAATAATAATAATAATAATAATAATAATCTAACAGCTTATACTATTTTCGCAAATTTATGCGGCTTTTTTGGTTTTTCGCTTGAGAATCTTATTAGCGTCATTATTTTATTCTCTGTCAGACTTTCTTTCTTGGTCTCCCCTGTCTATAATTGAGCCCCTGGATTCTACAACAGCCGCTGCGCGCGGTCTGGAAGGGATAATACCTGTCAGATAGCAATGAACGGCCCAGAGACACTCACTGCTACCTGACTGATACTATCCCTTCCAAATCGCGCGCAGCGGCAGTTATAGAATCCAGGGGCTCAATTAGTTATACACAGTTAACTTAAAGGTATTAAATTAATACCAAAAATTGATCACCGAAAAAAGAAATGGAGTCAGTAAGGATTTATTTATTTTTAGTTTTTCGAACTAAATCTTTAAGAATTGAAATGGTATAAAACATAATATAAGTTATATACGCATAAACTAAAGGTGTATCCATTATCAATAATAATTCTATACGTATACCCGTATTTATACTTATCAACATATCTATATACATTTCCTTAAATGCGAGTATATATATATATATATATCATAACATATACAATATATTTTCATCTTTTATCGATTGTACTCTTACGACTATTATCCTATATGTGGTAAATGTGATTATATTTTTTAAAAAGGCAATTAAAAAGTTAAGTGTCCTTAATATTAAGAACGACTGATGCGTTTGGAAAATCGTCTGAAAGGCTTTTATCCATCATGACAATCGTAATAAAAATATATTGCAAATGAATAAAATAAAAATACAAATTTAAAACAAATGTTTTACAGTAAATCCAAATAATCGGACAATCCAACTTTTATTAATGTAGCTTATTTATTAAAGATGAATCTAAAAAAATCTCTTCTTTCGTTATTTTGTCATAATATTTAAAGTAGAAATTTAGCAGTATTTAATTACATTTATAAAAATTAATTTAATGAAACTAAAAGTATATTGTTAGTAAGGTTTTTAAAATTTGAATTAAAGACTATATAATTATTATTCATTAATTATATTTGAGTGATATAATATATAAACCTCATTTTTATTAGATGATAATTATTATACACATTTAATGCAATTCTTAGTCTTAAAAAGTAATAAATAAATACTTATTCCAGTATTTTCTTCATAAGAAAAGGTTTTTAAGTTCTTTATTTTTTAAAATGAATTAGTAAAAAAATCATTCATATCATTAAACAATTATGCATAGATACATTTACAAAGTTTTCATTTTGCAAATCCAATTTTCAAAGTGAACTTTTTTCTGTGACGTTGGTATCCATATAATTACATATACCGTATAGAACACTTCTAATTTCAAATTTCTTGAAAGACTTGAAGCATGCAGCAGTACATTAAAAATTAACTTTGAATAAACATATATATGTTTTTAAATAAATTAAAAATTATTTCTCACGCTTCTGATTGAATTACATATTATAAGCATTAATCCTTTAAATTCGTTTCTATTTTTCTTCAATTTATTAACAGTCGATTAAAAAATATTATTTTCATAACGCGGTTCTAAAAAAGGCACTTTTTTGCACCTTGTTATGAAAAATATCGTTCGTAACTTGTGCGAGCGGTTGCCAATGTTTGAACGAGCACTTTTTTTGTAACAAACTGTAGGCGAAGCTTCGCTTCGCCTACAGTTTGTTCCAAAAAAAGCACTCATTCAAAAATTAGCAACTGCTCGCACTCGTTACGAAATATACTATTTTATTATCGATGACCGTAAACTTTGGAATTGGAGCTAAATCTTTTTTATTTTTCCTATGTCATTAAAGTAGGGTAAAATTGATGTTTAATTGCTCATACATACAACTTTGAAATTAGAGGTGTTTTAATTCTGTTTTGTATCATTCAAATTGAATTTTTATTAAACCAATTTGAAAAAAATTCAATTTTTTTATATTTTCTAGTTTGTTGAATAAAAAACTTTCTATCAAATTATCAAAATTATAAACCTAAGTTTTAAGCATATTTTTAAACCTATTCGTTGTAGTATATATTTTATATAATTCATTATTGGGATTGCTGAATATCAATTGAAATCGGTCTTGCAATGGGTCAATCCCTAAATTGTTTCCGTGTGTGTGCAAATTTACTTATTCTTTTAAGCAGAAGAGATAAATATGTACATTGGTTTTAACATTAATTTTAAAGTATATACTTTTGAAAAACAGAATCTATAAGATTATAATATTTTAATTATTATTATTATATTATATATAATTTCATGCGGTAAAATATGAAATTTAATTGTATGCTTTTTACGCGTATATATAAGAAATGGGAGGTGCGGTGCGGTGGAACAAGATTATCATTTTACAAAAAATTTGTAAAATTCATTTTGCCTATTATATATTATATACATATAACATTCCAATATTTATAAGAATCTGTAATTAAATATTGTTGACTATGTTGGCGAGGTAGAGTGATCAGTGTATTTTCTATTATAATATAAAGTGTACACTTAATTAAAGTAACGCGTTTAATTTAAATTTTAAATAATCGCTTTAAAACTAATGAAAAAGTACTGAGATCTATTTCTGATGTCATCGAAGTTCTAAAGTTTAATTAAAAAATATAATTATTCTATTTATTTATGCGATAACAAAATTTGACCATGTTATTATAACATTATTATTATTATTATTATTCTAATTATTGCTACTTGAAACAATAAAGAAAAAAGCACTAAAAAACAAACGTCATATATGTATAATGTTTAACTTTCGGAAAATTATATATAATGCAGTTTACAATCAGGATAATTGCTCCAAGAACCTAAAGCCTTAAAAATTTAGAATGATAAATGGTAAATAAATCATGTATATCTATCTACAAAAACACACATACACACTTATATATATACATAAAAATATAGATATCTGCTGTACACATGTGTGTATACACGATATTTAGACAGATAGATTTGCGTAAACATTTTATAAACACTAGAAAACTGAAACTTCTGCAAATGAACCAAAGATGAAAAAATATAAAATGCCGATTACGTTAATAATGATCTTGAAAAAACATTGTAGATAATGCAGTGAATGTATGGTATTGTTTATTAATAAATGTGTTCTGCACCAATAATGTTAAATTGTGAGTAATATGTTTCACTCTCAAGTATGCATTTTCCTAAAATTGTTTAAACAATATGTTTTATAACTGAAAGTTATAACATTATTGTAATATATATGTATATTATAATAAATATAATAAACATATTATAAATATTTTTTTCTCATAATTTTTGGTAGTGCAATATTATTAAATTTTTTTAAGTAGTTGAGTGCGGTCACCTGCAAGCTTCCTTGCAAGTTTTCAAATTAATTTTATAATATTTGTATAATTAGAACTATATCAAACATCAAACAAATAAAATATTAAAAGATTTACTTGCAGGAAAAAAGTTATTTCGCAACAATATGTATATTTTTTTTTAAATGCAAATAAATTGTTTTTCACAAGAGAAATTTTTACAGAAATACATATCGACTTAAAAAAGTCAACATTATTTTAAGTTAAATATATTTGTTTATAGTTTTTGACTTGAATTTCAAAGAAGTAAAAGCTTATCTTCTATTAAAAATGATATGTATGTATTGTAATACATATCTTGTCAAACGACTAACGACGTGAATTTTGGATTGATAAAATTTTTATTAAAAAAATTATAATTTGTAATAATTGAGTACAATTTTATTTTAAACAAAAGTTTAAGCTCACAGTAGTTCTATCTCGGAGCAACACTCATATATATATACAATAATGTCATCTTTTGGGCACACTCGCGCGGTTTTAGAAATTTCGAACAAAACATTCTATTGACGAGTCACGTATTAAAAGAACAAGGGCAACACGTGGTCTCACCCCAGAGAAATTTCAGGTTTTTTAATCTTTTTTTATACGGCTTTTTACTTTTGTTGGTTTAACAAAATTCTATCACAAAGTTCAATCCAAAAAAAGAAACTCTATTCCAATTAGAGACAATCTGAATTTCAATAAAGTTCTTTTTTCAGTTTCATCCAAGTTAAACGCGTTACTTGAAGTCATTGGACTAGTGCATATGAGAATTTTAATATTATTTAGAGTAAATGAGTCGGAAACTTTTGTGCTTTTGTGAAACAAATAATAATTTCTTATCATTTATAAAATGTATTCAAAAAATTTGTGAGGTTTATATTTTGAAATTATTCATTCATCAGGGTGGTCACAAGTTTCAGTTTATCAATTTCCCTGACAATTTACTGACATAAAAATTACTTTCCCTGACAAAATTCTTTTTATATAAAAAAGTCTCAATTTTCTTAATTTCCCTACTAAAAGATTTTTTCCTGACATTTCCCTGACTTTACTGACTTTACTGACATGTGGCCACCCTGATTCATATATATTATAGAGCGAGTTATAGAGAGTATTTACTTTATCTTTTATGTTCTTTAAATTAATTTTTTAATATAAAACAATAAAAAAATCTTATTGAAAAATCTTATTGAATAAATTATTTTTAACTTGTCTGACTTTGTTTATTTAATAAGGGTTCTACTCTATTTGTCATAATTTCTTTCCATTTAGTGTGTAATCGCAATAAGCAATTTTTAATGAAAATTTTAAATATTTTAACAATAATCATTTTAAATTTTAAATGTTCTTGGACATTACTTTTCGGTTTATAAATGTCTGATTTTGTAAATAAAATCGAGTGCTTGGTAGCTGCGCCCGCGCTTATCGATCGCGTACTTGCGTAGAAGCTACAACAAGAGGAACGTGTTGATTTTTTGAAATTTTTGATTTAGATTGCAGTATTTTGTAAAGATTTCACCTTAATTGTTCAAGCAAAGATTGATGTAGGGCAGTAGAATATTACTCGTACAGTAATGCACATGACAGTTTATGAATGAAGTACATTTTTGGATGCCAGCATCAATTGCATCAGCAGCATAAGCATCTGAATTGTGTTGTAAGTGCAACTTAAGTACACTTGCAGTATCGTCAATTGTAAAGCGTGCAGGTTAGGTTACAGCTTGCAGGTCGCAGGTCACAGTAGTAGAAGAATTCGTGCGTAATCGACCTCGTCGTCCCAGTCATCCGCGACTCGCAGTTCGCGTTCGTTATTGTCCGTGTTTTTACATTTTATCCAACTTTGTCGTTGTTCATTAAATACTTCGTGAGTAGAATAATATATATATAATTAACAAGACAGCGCACAATTGTTATCTGTGTAACTTTACAATTGACTCATAACCTCTTTTATATTTATCTATCTACAACAGGGAATTATATTTAAATATAATTTTCTTCACATTCTTCCTTTTTTAATATTAATTCATTTGTATTTCACTAACCACTACAGCTTCTTATTAATCGCTTTCCAAGTAAAATTGCGTATTAATAAACAGCAAACAATTGGAGTTACCCCACAACATGGCAGATAAGGTATATTATCCCAATGCAGAATGTGCAAGGAAAGCTCATTGTAAGAGCATGGAACATTATAAAGAAATGCACGAAAAGTAAGTAAGTTTTTAATAATGTGAATGTAAAATGTATTTTCTACTTTTTTAACAGTTATTGCTTTAGATATTTTGATAAATTCTCTTATTCTGAAGGGAATCTAATTTAAAATGTAGAAAAAATATTGATTATTAGTGATTTTCTTATTTATTATTAGTATACATACATAAAAATCGGTAGAAATTGAAAACGTACATGTATATGAATATTGATCTTCTGACAACCCTTGACCGTGTGACACTAAACTGTTGGGTATGCATGCACATACTGTGCTACTTTGTTTCATAGTTAATTATTATTAGCAAATGAATAAAACAGAAATTTGTGTATACGCTTTGGGAATCAACTGCAAAACAGCTAGTTTTTCTTTATTTAAATTTAGAGAGTAAAAAATGAACTGCCGAAGAAATCTTGTTTCAATTTTCATTTAAAAATCAATATTTATATTCTTTTTGTAACCTACATTGTTGTCTCTTAATATAGCAATATCAATGCGTAGGTATATAAATAAATATCAAAAATATACCTATTTTTTAATTAATATAAATAGAAAATACTCAGAGTTAAATTTAGAAATCTTATTCGCTTGCTTAATAAAATTCACAAATAAAATCCATATTTGACATAAAATTCAATCTTTGGTGATCAGCTTAATGAAATTTATACATTATTATTAATATTGAGAAAATTAGTTTAAGTTATATTATGTCATGTACTGAAACTTGTATTAGTTGTTTAAGAATGAAAAATATGTAAATGAACTTAATTTATTCATTCAATATTATAGATCTTCTTTTTAAATCGCCGTTTATAAATAATTTTCAGTACGAAGGGTTCCAGTAATATTCAAAATTTCATAGTCAAAAGAATATCATATTTAAGATAGGCCTTAATTTAAATTAAATTTTCCGAGAAAAATTGTTTTTAAGATTTAAATTTACTTATTTAATAGAAAGCGTGGCATATATTTTTGTAGGTCAATCAAAGATCCTGAAAAGTTTTGGGGAGAAATTGCAAAAGAATTTTACTGGGAAACGCCAACAACAGATGGAAAGTTTTTTAATTATAATTTTGACTTAAATGAAGGTGATATTTCTATCAAATGGATGGAAGGTGCTTCAACAAATCTGAGTTTCAATCTGTTGGATAAGAACGTTAAAAATGGCAATGGAGACAAAGTGTCTTTTTATTGGTAATATATATATATATATATGTATATTTACCATATTACTTTTAATTGTGTAAGAATGAATTTCAACAAACACCGCCGAATATATAACTTTAATCAAAGTTACCTGAAGACTTGAAATAGAAATTGAATGAAAAAAATCAGGCTAGGTGAATTAGGTTAAAAATAATCAAGCTGACTACGTAACTAAATCAGTCATTTTAACTGACTGTCCCTAGCTGGCACCTTCACTAATATAATAAATTTACTATAGTTGACTCATTGTAAAAGGGTGCACTTTTTATTTTGATCTGAGGCATGTTGGCGCTGAAATCTTTAAAACTTTAATAAATAAATTGGGTGAAATAGCGTATATAATAACTAATTATTTATTATAGTTAAATTTACTTTTATAGATTAGGTGAAAATAACTGAAATGTTTGGTAACTAATTCAATTAGTGCAATTTGATTATTTTTGAAATTATGTATATATTAATAATTAGCTATTTTGACTAATTTGCTTTTTTTGGCTTCAGCCAAAAGAAGGCAGTTTCGATTTTACTAATAATTAGTTACTATTTTTAACTAATTCAGATTTAGAGAGAAATCTTTTTCAAGTAAAAGTAAGTGAAGAACCACTGAGATCATTCATTACAATGTAAATTAAGATGTTCACACGTAGACGCAAGTCATTCGAATTGCTGAATAGTAAAACCGCATAATTTGTATACCACATATAGGTATAAGAAATAATTGAAACATGAAACTGAAAAATGATAAACATTTTGACAAAAACGGATAAGTTACTAATTGTATTCCTATAGATTTACTACACATTTTACTCATTATGTGTATTTCAATTAAAGAGCATCACATAAGTATAATTAGAGGTATTGCTCGTATTGCTTGAAGTCATTTAATGAAAGAAAAAGTATGTAGTGTCCATTTTATGTTTGCTGATTCTATTCTAATATAAACAGGAAGTCTTCATGGCCAAAAAACAGAGAGTAAATGAAATATTATTTTTGACACACTACACTCAGTCGTGTTTCTTTATTCTTTTTCTCAGTTTGAGAAAACAGTGATGAAGCATTTTTAAATAATAAAGAATATTTTCATGATGAAATTATTAGTAAGAATAATGTTACTTTATTGCTTTTTAGGGAAGGAAACAATCTGGAAGATTATACTCGTCTGACATATAAAAAACTTTTACAGGAAGTCTGTAAATTTGCTAATGTCCTTAAATCGAATGACGTAACTAAAGGTGATCGTGTAGCCATTTATATGCCTATGATTATGGAACTTCCTATTGCAATGTTAGCTTGCACTAGAATTGGTGCTGTTCACAGCATAGTGGTGAGATATATTTTTATTTTATTTTCATTACATATTTGCTATTACAACATGATCAATCTTAAGGTACTCTACTACTCTTGAGTGAATAGTCCTTCGGGTGTAACCTTCAGAAATTGGTACAGTGACAAAAAGAAAATGTTAAATTAGAGCTGATTTCAGGAATTACAATGGAACCAAATGACGATTTGATACCCAAAATCGTTCTTAAATTGATACTTTTTATCTCTTTACAGTGATTAATGAAATGTTTACAATTGTTAGTTTGCAGGATATTCGTCTGATTCATTAGCAGAACGAATTTTAGACTCAAAGGCCAAAGTTGTAATTACCGCAGACGGTGTATGGAGGGGAGAAAAACTTTTATCATTAAAAAGTATATGTGATGAAGCTCTTTGTAAAGTGAAGATGAATGGTCATGAAGTTGAAAAATGTATAGTTGTTTCACATTTAAGAAGGATAACTAGCTCTCATAATAAGATTGAAAACAGTGGTAAGATTAAAAAAAAACCTAGTATATCATTACTAGATTTATTATATGTAACTTAAAATAAAATTATTGAAAATAATTATTTTTAGGTAAAAAAAATGGTGTTGGAAAAGAAAACAATGGCAGTAATCTTAATGAAAATGACATTCCTTGGAATGAAGATAAGGACGTTTGGTGGCACGAAGAAATGGAGGATGTTGAACCAAGTTGTTATCCAGTTTGGATGGGTGCGGAAGATCCACTCTTCATTTTGTATACAAGGTTTCTATTTTTTTCTTTATTCATACATAGCAAGCTTATTCACCTTGTAAGTAACGAGATGTTGGTATATCAATATGTATATCTTTGCCATTCAATATGCCAAATGTTTTTGAAGCGCTTGCATTGTTGATAGCTTTAATGTTTGATTCTCACATATGCAAACTTTTTGTACTTTTCGTACTTGCCACATAATATGCAATAATTTCAGTGGTTCAACAGGAAAGCCTAAAGGTGTACTACACACAACTGCCGGTTATTTAATTTATGCAGCAACAACATTCAAATATGTCTTTGACTATCATCCTGGTGATGTCTATTGGTGTACAGCTGATATTGGTTGGATCACAGGTCATACATACGTCGTTTATGGTCCTTTAGCTAACGGAGCGACTTCAATCTTAGTAAGTGTTTCACTATTATAAGCCTTCATTAAGGTTCAGTGCTGAAATTACTTAAATGAGCATTTCATTTCTCAACAGTTTGAAGGCACCCCTTTCTATCCGATGAACGACAGATACTGGTCCATAATCGACAAGTACAAGGTTACGCAATTTTATACAGCTCCAACAGCGATTAGATCTCTTATGAAGTTTGGTGATGATCTTGTCAGAAAACACAATCTGCGCTCTCTGAGAGTAAGATTTTATTTAGATTCATTTATAATATGTTAAAAAAAAAACTGTGTTAAAAATTCGTTAATTTTATCACTTGACGTAGAAACGTGTCAAGTATTTTAAAACTCTTGCAGCTACAAATTTATTTTACATAAATAGGTACTTGGATCTGTGGGAGAACCAATTAACTCAGAAGCATGGCTCTGGTTCTATAACTTGGTTGGTCATGGAAAATGCAGTATAGCAGATACTTTCTGGCAAACCGAAACAGGCGGTCATGTAATAACACCTCTTCCAGGTGCGACTCCAATGAAACCCGGTTCGGCTGTGAGTAGTTTATTATTTACTTTTAAACAAGCAAAGAAAAGCTTATTGTTTGAATAATTAATTTAAACATTAGACGTTTCCCTTCTTTGGAGTTTTGCCAGAACTATTGGATGAGGATGGTCATATAATAGAAGGCGAGGGTGAGGGTTACCTTGTGTTCAGAATGCCTTGGCCGGGAATGATGAGAACACTCTACGGAAATCATGAACGCTTTCAGAGTACCTATTTTGATAAATTTCATGGATTTTACTGTACAGGAGATGGTAAAATATAATCACCAACTTTATGCACTTTGTTTCTTAAATTTATAATATAATTTATAATTAATAATAAATAATTAGGTGCAAGACGCGATTCTGATGGTTATTTATGGGTGACGGGTCGAATCGATGACATGTTAAATGTTTCGGGGCACTTGATGTCAACCGCAGAAGTAGAAAATGTTTTAGCGGAACATACTTCAGTAGCTGAAGCAGCTGTTGTCAGCAAACCGCATACAGTTAAAGGGCAATGCCTTTATTGTTTCATTACTCCAAATGAGAATGTCACTTTTGATCAAAAACTGCAAGATGAATTAAAAAAGAAAGGTAATTTAACCATATATATTCTTCCTAATAGACTTCATAGAGATATTCTTTCACATTTTAATAAGAATAAGAAATACCATAATATAACATACTGCAAATTCTTTCAACTTGTTATAGCCTAACAATTATTTTTGGCGACATTTCTGTTGGTTGCATGCATTGTTCTAAATTTAACTTAATTGCTGACTATATCAGATTATATTAAAACATTTCCTCCTTTATGACCTTTGACTAATTACTATCTTATGTAACTGCTATTTGATCAACACTAACACAGAAACAGAAAGTAACAGAGCATTACCGGATGATAACTATTTTGAAATCTCGCCGAAAAAATTGATACACAATCATTATTCATCTAGATGCTACTATTTTTATTGAAATATACCATAATTAATAATATTTTTTTTTAGTTCGTGAAAGAATTGGTCCTTTCGCTCAGCCGGACGTCATTCAACACGCACCGGGTCTTCCAAAGACAAGGTCTGGAAAAATTATGCGTCGAGTCTTAAGAAAAATCGCTATTGGCGACCGGAATGTTGGAGATATTTCAACACTAGCAGATGAGAGTATCGTAGATCTTTTATTCCAGTTAAGACCTTAAGCTTAAAATGTCTTCTTCTAGTCCTCCAAAATTATTTAGTTATTTTCAGTTATGCCTACTTTTAGTGATGCACATATATTTTAATTATATTATTTTTTATTAATTTAGATTAATTATTAATTAATTAATTTAGATATTACAGACCAGCATAAGTCCAAAAATAGCGTTTAATTCTGGTCATTTGTAAGTAGGTATATATTATGAATATTATTCAATATGAATAATATTAATTTGTTTGAAAGATTATTTTATATTAAACGGGGTTCCAGAGTGTCTTAAAGTTTTGTTTCTTTGCAATTTAATTTGCACACAAGAAATTCAAGTTTATTCACAAGTACCGCCGTACTTTTCGAATACGAAACTTTTGTATTTACGTAAACTAAAATGCTTATACATATTAGACGTTTCTTTAATCGTACTGTTATCTTTCTAAATATGAAGGAATATACATTTTATACAACTTGTACGAAAATGAATCTTTGGACAATTCAAGACATCTGGTCTTATTGATTTTGTGATGACTGCTACATATATTGGAATATGTTTGTGGCATACGTTGGAAGTTTGTAGCAAACTTGATGCAACTGTAATTTCAATTAGCAACAAGTTTACATTGTAAATTTGCAAGATTAACTTGCTGCAAACTTGCTAAAAAAAGAAATTGTGTGCTATATGTGGGAGTTGACCAACAGTTTGCATCGATCTTAAACTTCCTTCAGCCAACTTAATTTACCTAATTACAAGTTTATTTTCGTTGCCTACATCAATATGCATACAGGATGTGGCAAAAGTATGGAACCCCTTAAATATTTCTTAAAATATGCTTTTTGGTGCAAAATGTTTGAAACGAAAAAAAGTTGTTGGACTCAAGAAAATGTATTATAATTGGGGAAATGATTGAACGGGCCCAGAGACTCGTATGGTGTCTATGAATAAAAAGGTAATTTTTTTAATGCATATTTTAGGAAAAGTTGAAGGGGTTCCATACTTTTACCACACCCTGTACATATATCAATATACACCAACGAGTAAAGCGTAGTTTAGATTTTAGTATATGAAAGTGTAAATAGTGTAGACAATGAAAACGAATTTTGAAAAAGAATAAAATTACTTGATCTATCACTCTGGAACAATGTTATAAGCGCTTATTATTTTATAAAAGCTTGGGGCTAAGTAGTTGTAAAAAATGTTTATTTTGCTATTACACTAAGAAACAAAAATTTTTTATTTTTATACTCCGTCTTCCATGGCAGAGTAATTTTGTTGTTGAAAAGCAAAAAATGTTGTCCCTTAGTGTATCGCTATTATATATAGACACTTTGAACACTGTGATGTATTACCAAAAATATAGAAAATTTCATTTTGATAAGATTTGCAGTTTTTAAATTTAAGTTATTTTTACACGGAAAAAAATGAATAAACTATAATTTTTACTATACTTTCATAAATGAAATCTAAATTTTCTGGAATTTCTACACATTTCAATCAACTTTTACTTTTTTGGGTATCAATTTTAGCAAAAAGAAATCAAATTTACTATAGAAATAGTAAAAATTGTCGAAAATCCCAATCAGTTTAGGTTTTACTAAATTATAATAGCTTATACTTGTATTATGTGTTCCATTACATCACAAAATAAATAATGTCATTGGCTGAATGTAAAGTATAAACAGTTTACAACTTTTTTTTATTGTGTATGGTTTAAACACATTTTACTAGTTTTTGCTGAAATGAAAGAATAAAGTTTACTCTGAAATTAGTGGAAATTGCTAGATCGATATAAAAAAAATAACTCCAGTCAGTTAAGGTTTTACTTTGTAAATTGTAGTAAAAATTACTTAATTTTTCGTTTTGTGTAATGTTAAATCCATTGCCTAATTCAGCATAGGATGTATTAAAAATATTGCATCTTAAAACGAGACATTCTTTTCAATGTGTTGTTTATTCTAATTATTTATAATTGTAAATGAAATATTTGTTTTTAAAATAATTTGCAAGTAAGATTTAGAGAAGATATATTGGAATAAAGAGTCGTCCTACTGCCCAAAGTTGTATGTTTCCCATGTAAAGCACAATTTCTAAAATATATAATACATCCGCACAACATACAAATACCTATATTAAAATTGAGGGCTATAAAAATCGTAAAGATTTGACGTGTAAAATTGATTATTGTGAACACGACTCCCTAAGTCTGAATTAGTTAAATGTTGAGCCATTAATTAATTTAGAGCCAAAATATAATAAATTTTATTTATATATATATATATATATATATTACACCAATTTATTAGTACCGAAATATATAAATATATAGTTATTATGGATAGATAAAATTATTTATATTAAGTTAGAAAAGTTGTGCAAAGAGGCTTTAATTTTAATCGAAACAATTTATTGCAAGCTGTGCAGACACCTGAATCTTGCATGAAGACAAACGCTTTAAGAGTTAAGAATTGCGCAGACACTTTTATTGCAAAAATATATGTACGGAGAAAAATAAGTTTGCTGCTGCATGCATCTAAATTTTAGCTGTAGCAGTTGATAATTAGCTGTGGGATAATTATTAACTAAAAATAATTACTATCTATATACCAGTTAGCTAACAACACAGCTAATAATTAGCTAACATGGCCAACTTTTTTCTTCATCTAGCTAAAGAGACATTTTGTTTTCATCAATTCAGATTTCGAGAGGGTGAACTTTATAAATTCAAACAATTTGAAAAATAACTGACTTTTTATATATAGATAAAATATTTTTTTGATACATTTTCGCTTACCAGACATAAATATATAATTGTAATGTGTGCTATAACCAGGCCTGGCTATAACACATAATAATACAAATGAAAGTTACTGAGCTGTATACTGAAGTGAATAAATTAAATAATTTAAAAAAGCACAACGACTCAACATCACAAAGATGTCATGTGATGATAACGAGCGAATTTCGCTACTCTTCACGGAAAAGTTTTCGGACGAGCTTCTTTTAAAAATAAACGGAAGTGAAAATATATTTTTCATGCCCCAATAGAAAGTTTGGATCAAACTTCTTCGTTAAATGTCACACTTTTTTGAGGATCTAAAATTATGTTTTAATACTTTTAATTTTAAACTAAATTATTTGTCGCAAATCAAAACGCAATATAACAACTATAACAGTTGAATTTTTTATGGTTTCTGGAAATAGATGAAAAAATCATTTACTTTTCATATCGAAAATTATTGTTTGAAAACTTTTCCGTATGCGCGTCTATGCGCAAAAAAGAATCAACGCTGAAAAAGAGTTAATTGTTACGCACTTATACATATATATTATATACGCGCATTTTCCTAGATTGACTGCGCAGACATATATAGGTACATGCATAATATTATACATTATGCTTACAGTTGTAAATGGCATATTTATGTATAGATGTACATTACCACTGTATATACTGAGAAAATAATATTCTATGTAAAAACTATATTCTTATATAATATTCAAACATCTCAGTAAAAAGAAATTCTAATTTTAAAATTAGTCTTAAATTCAGCACTGCTGTCTTGAAAATGTTGCATCTTCAAACAAGACTTTTGTTTTTCCTCAAAATAAAACTTATTTCTTTTTACTGTGATGAAATAATTCAAGAACATATTGAATTTAATTAAAAATTTTGTTAAACACATGAAACGAGAAAAATTTCTGAATCTTCAATGCACAGAGAAAAATTTAGCTAATATTCAGCTAACCTATAATTAAACTCAATATTTTGCTTGTATGTGGATATAGTGATTATTTACGCAGAGAAAACAACGAAATTCTAAATTTAAGAATAATATAGTCTAGTATTGCTATTATTTGAGAATATTTTCAATGTATTTTGTTGCTAGTTAGAATATATAATACTCCTTAAATTCTTAATTAATAAAAATTTTTCCTATATCAATATAATTAGTTACCACAATTAACCTATTTAATGTGACAGCAAACTATTAGTTGCCATAAATTAAATATCCACATAATAGTAAATATGTGAAAGAGTTTTTCTCCGTGTACTCATGAGTATTTTATTCTAGGTTGTTTGATTATTTAAGAATAATAATTTTACATAGATGATAATTATTATATGCCCACGTGAAAAGGAAGCAAAATCTCAAAACAAAATCTGAACGCACTATCCTTTATATCGGTTAGTTATTATTTACTTATTTATTGCGTGAACGCAACAAGGAAAATTCCTTTTCACGTAGACATTTATATTCCACAACTTTTAGCGCAAGTATAGCTGCACATTATTATTCAATCTGCAATTTTGCAATACTTGAATGAAAGATGTGGAATAAATCAGTGTATATTTTATAAAATATATATATATGCATGTAATTGCCATGAAAAGTGTGATAAGAAACCATACATATCATTAATATTAAGTAGGTGTGATATAATATATACAAGAAATAATGCGAATTTAATTTGAATCACGCGAATATAATTAAAATGTATGTATATTATATACGTTGAGAAATAAATACATTTTATTGTTGTAAAAAATTTGAGTTCTCATCTATATTGACACACACTACTGTAAGAAAGATTTCAAGTGAAAAGATTTACCCGATTTACCTTATTCATTTTAAATGCAAAGATGATGATTCTTCTTCTTCTTCTCCTTCTTCTTCTTTAATTTGTGGCTTCGAAATTATTTCAGGTCACTTCTTGAAAATGCAAGGATGATAAAAATCTAATTTATATTAGATCGAAAGCACCGAAAGTATATGAGTGTAGGCGACCAAAACAAGCCACGCACAGTACGGATAGTACATAACCTTTTGAATAAAGAACAACATTGGTTTCACGTGGTCGCTTCTGCGCGTCTGTTGGACAGATGCTGCACTAAAGCATTTATCCACAGGGTCGATCGATACACCCTAAACCACTGGTCTGAAGTACGGTATTAATAATTTGAAGCCACAGAATAGAAGATAATATATGGGTGAAGGTTTCTTATTGTTTTTTATCGAAAAGAAGTGAATTATAATATAAGAAAAAATGTCAAATACAGATGAATATTACGAAACAGTTATTCAACTTGTAAATGAAGCTGGAATGGTAAGTTTCTGCTTTTTATTTCACACAATAATATAATACAAATTCTCTCTCTCTAAGGTAAACTTATTTTGATGGAAGGCCCAATAAAAATGATGTTGATATTTTATACAATTATTATTTATAATTAAATTATTTGAAGAATATACATATCGTTTTTAAAATGCAGATGTAGGTACATTATTATTATATGACGATTATTTCATATAATAATATGTACGATAATTCAATGTATATTAATGAGTTTAAAATTATTTTCGGATTAGTATAATATGCCTCGACATGTGAGACTTTTGAAAGCTAAATCGATTTTATTTGTGTTGCTATATTATTTTCAGCTTATCAAAAATAATATCAATAGACAGAAAAATGTTTTAACTAAATCTTGCGATGTTGACTTAGTAACAGAAACTGATCGTCAAGTTGAAAGACTTCTAATGGACGGTATAAGTGCAAAATTTCCGGATCATAAGTATGCGAATAAATAGTATTATTGTTTACATCTCTATAACTTTTTTATTTTTTTAAACATTTTTTTAAGTAAAGAAAATATAAAATATGAATTTTTAAAAAATAGGTATGCGTAGCATTTATTTGTAATAACTTGTTTTACCTTACAATTACTGTATATGCACATTTTTCTTTCTGTAAGTTAATTTAATGAATTTTGTAACATAGATTTATTGGAGAGGAAACTATGGCAGAAACAAACCAAAAAATAGAACTGACAGTCGACCCCACTTGGATTATAGACCCTGTGGATGGTACTATGAATTTTGTACACAAGTTTCCTCACGTTTGTATTTCAATTGCACTTTTGATTGAGAAAACAACAGAGATAGGAATCATTTACAATCCCATTTTGGATCAAATGTTCACAGCCAGAAAGGGAAGAGGAGCTTTTTTGAATGGAAAAACTATTAATGTTTCTCAAGAAACAGGTACCTAATTATTATTATTATTATTATTATATATAATAAATATCTAAATCCATTTTCCTTTGAGAGCTTATTATTTTATGAAACCATAAAAATGAAGATGTGTGTGTACTGTGTAGAAATTATTTTATGTTCATTTGCTAAAATTACACGGAATAGCTAATGGAACCATAGGAAAAATTATACAGAAGCAAATTTTGTAAAAGTGTGTCTGGATTTTTTAGAACTACAAAGTGCACTAATAATGATGGAAATGGGAACTAGCAGAGATCCTGAAAAGACGAAAGTTCTTGTAGAAAATATTACTACATTAACACCTCTCATTCATGGGTAATTTGAAATTTATTTTATTAATTCAAGTATCATTATATAAACAATGACTGATTCTATGAATGCTTTGAAGAACTCGGGCTTTAGGTTCGGCAGCACTAAATATGTGCATGGTTGCAATGGGAGGTGCTGATATTAATTACGAGTTTGGAATTCATGCTTGGGATATTGCTGCTGGCGACCTCATAGTTAGAGAAGCTGGCGGAGTCTGCATTGATCCTGCTGGTATTTTATTCAAGAGAATTATAATATATTAGATAATTTAATAATTACAATACAATGTACAATTTACTATTTACTATTTACTATTTTCAGGTGGAACATTTGATATTATGAGCAGAAGAGTACTCTGCGCATCAACTATGTCACTTGCACAGAAAATTGCCAAGATCTTAATTCAGTATTATCCTGAACGGGACTAGTTAATTAATATTTTCAAAAAGGTATAATTTATTCAGGATATGTTAGAGAGACTTTAGAAATGTGAAAATGGATTTGATTAATTTATATATTAATATACCTATATATTCTACCTTAAATTTTATCATAAAGAAAAATCTGTTGCAAAATTAAAACATGTATTTAAATATAGGATTTCATAATCCAACCAGAATTAAAGGTAATAAATGATAATAAATAAAATAAAGTTTATAATAACTTTTGTGAACAATTTATTGCTTTCTCTATAATGTAAATTTAAACTAGTCTTTTGTTTTAATTTTATTTTCAATAACTTAATTATATTTACAATTATAAAAAAAATAAATTTGTTTCAACACCGATGGGTGTAAAAAGTTTTGCGAGATAATTTAGTTTTCGCATATTTAATAGTTACTTTCAAATTAATTGGTTTAAAATTGAAAATTTTACAAAACATTGAATCGTTTATTTATTTGAAGCAGTTTGTGTTTTGATAGAAATTAAGGACAGGATCATCAGAGAAATTATTTCTCATGTATCTGAGCATTCAATTGTTGAAATGTTTATTGAAAAAATATTACTACTGTATTCTAAATATATGTATATATATATTATATAAAACACCTGTCTTCTTCTCCATTTTCTAGTTCTTCCACATCTGAAATTAATGCAATTTATTCTTTTTAAATATGTATAATATCTAAACAAGAAAATATTGATTTGCTTTTCATTAAATTTTAACGAATTTTAAATAATGTAATAAAAGTCTGTATTAAATTATTGTGTTATTAAAAAAAGAATTATACCATCTTTGCATGGTGATAAACTTACTTACTATTTAAAATGTCATCAAACTTTCATCATGAATCTTAGATCCATCATCATTGTAGATTATTTTGCAGATGAATTAGAGGATGCCTTCATGTTGTAGACTTGAGAATAATTCCACGGCCTCACCTCCTCTCAAAGAGGACTATAAGTGAAACATTACCAAATTGGCAATTAGAACAATGACATTAATTTTTAACGGTATTTGTTGTTTATTTCTGTACATATATAATTGAAATTATGACTTGAAATTTTCATTTATTTTCAATTTGAAATTTGGTGTTTTTGTACTAAATTATTTTTTCTCAACGTTCAAAAAACATTGTTGTAGTTGATGCAAAAAATTTGATTTCATTATCCTATTAAGTTATTGTAAAATACTAAGTAGAAAATGAATATTGGTAAGGGAACATTGGTAAAAATAAAAAAAGCATAGCGACGAGAGTGTAAAAGAACAAGAACTAACGATTCGTTAAAATAGGTATACTAAACATCCCATACGGCAGTCATCATGAATACCTTGCAACCGGAACAGTGCTCTAAAGGCCCTTGTTCAGTCCACCCTCACTGATTCGAAATGATGACACACCTGAAACATAAGCAACCTCGTATAATCTTTTCTCAAAATTATTCTTTCCCTCGCTATCGCTAAACATCAATAACGCAAATATCACCAAGAAATTTATATAAATTTAAATTTAATTTTAATTTTAATTTTAATGAGAGCTTGGTGTTAATTGCGACAAAAAAATAAAAAAATAAAATCTATTAATATCAATATCGTGTAAGCCCTGAAAAGTAAATGTTTTGAACCGCTGTCAAATAAATATGATCGAAGGTGTTTGTCTTGTTAAAATTCGACGAGAATACTTCATAATCATTCAAGTATGTGTTATTTTATTTCAACTGCAGTCCTATTATCTATACAAATTTGACTCCTTAATACACCAAATAAATTGTCGCTAAATTTCAAGATAAATTCATATGTAATATACTTAATTGACTCACTGTAGAACGAAAAAAACAAACAAAAACAAATGCAAGACTAATAAGTCTTTTAATTTCCAATTAAAACGTAATAATTTACAATTTCCAAGAGATACTCTCAATTAATAAAATACCAAATGTATAATCGCTAATATTTTATCGTAGTACAGAGATTTACAAAAAAACATTCATGAAACGCCATACCAGGCGTTTGAAAACATTATTTACTCCATTAGAAACTGCGATAATGAGGCAAAAATACTTGTGATTGGTTTTTCTAGTAACCAATATGTAGCACTGGCTGTGAGGGAAAGAGTAATTCAATGTAATTCAATGTAATTCAATGGACTGTTAAAAATTTGATCCTTTTTTATATGTCTCTTAAGCCCACTGCACTTATTTCGCTTATTTTCGCTTATTTTCGCCAAATTATGCAGATATTCTCGTGAATTGCATAAATATTGTGCTCATTCGGTGACGTTAACAACAGCACTTGTTAAAATTATGCAAATTATTTAAATTAATAAAACTCCATCGCGGAAGGTGCCTGGGTCTGGTTACCTAGATCTTTTCTTGTATAAAAGGATGAGCCAAAGCATGATTCACAGTAATTCTTTTCCCAGCATCTAGCATCAGAGTTCGTTCCAGTAGATCTTTAAGCTGAGACACCTTCCGACTCTGTTCTGATGGCAGTGAATTTCCGCCTAATTCTGTATTGAGATCACGCGACGCTGGTAATGTAGACATTATTACAATCTTCTCCTATAAAAAGTACAGCATTAACATAAATCTCAAATTATTTATTTGATAATTCATTTTCAATGCTTTATTGGATTTAACTTTTTAAAATAAAATGCCACTTACCAATAATTGAGAGCAGAGATGATAATATTAGAGAAAATAACTTACCCGCTCAGTAACTTTATCAACTTCATGATAGAGGAAATTGCAGTTGGTGTCAAAATGCTGATCCTTGAAAGAACCTTTCCTAATTACTTTATTCGGCATTTTTCCTTTGAGGTCCATAAAAAATTTCAACATCTGGTTATTCGTTTTTCCCGAAAACATGATTTTTCCAGTGTACAATTCGTAAATAGTACATCCTACGGACCACATGTCAATACCAAAATCGTATGGTATGCCGAGAACTAAGAATGAGAAAATTCACTTTTACAAATGGAAAAGAAGAAGGAAAATTTTCTGTTAGAGACAAAGAGAAATACTCACTAATTTCAGGAGCACGATAAAATCTTGACACAAGGTATGGAGTTATTTCGTTTTCGTGTGCGTGCGACGCTGAGCCAAAGTCACATAGTTTCAACACTAATTTGCTTTCACTGACTAGAATATTATCTGGTTTGATATCCGCATGCAATATATTTGCTCGTTTTAACAATTTCAGTGCTAAAAACAACTGCTGAGTGTAAGACCTTACCGCTTTAACATGTAGACCCACATCCTTACCATATTTCTTTAACACCTAAACAAAGTTAATTCCGTTTTTAATAATTTAGTAAAATTCAATTCAATTCAAAACTCACAATATTAATAACAAATAATATACCTCTCTTAAATTCATAGCTAATGGTTCAAAAACCATACACAAGTGGTTTTTGTGGAAGAAATGTCTGAATAAGCGTAAACAATGGAATCGATCTTCTGGATCAGCGTCATTAAGTTTCCTCAGAATTTCTAATTCTTTCAAGCCTGTTCTATGCCTGTAGTAATTAAAAATAGAAATAATTATTTCTTTTTCAGTAATGAAAATGAAAGAAAATAATGTCAGTAAAACCTTACATTATTTCATTGTTTCTAATTATTTTAACTGCAACGTCGAGACCTCCTCTAGCGTTGTCTCTTGCCCTTACAACATTACTGAATACGCCTTGACCAGTGTATCCGTAAACAACGTAACGAGAGTCTAAAGATTCACCGACACGAACTCTAAAAAGGAAAATAATAATTTCATTAATTAAAATGACCATTTATTTCCCACTAATATGTTCTTTCGATCTTCCCACGATAATTGAATAATTGAAAGTACATATCCGCATGTGCCTTGATTCGGGTATAGGCGTATAGGACAACTGCAAATTGTCGACAGAAAAGTGCTCAATTTTGTCGATAAATGGAACAAAGATGCTGTTATCGTTATAACAGAAACTGCAAACTTAAGCGTTTACTTTAATTTTGTTTACTGACCGATAATAGCCTTCAGCATCATCCCAGTTATCGGTAAGACTCGGATTGTCTGGACCTCCATGGCGCTTCCCTTCAACCGTCGGACTCTATAACATACGAAATACACGAAATTGGTAAGACTTTGAAAACTTAAAATCGGAAAAAGCAAAAAACCTACATTAAAGTCACCAATATTATCCACTTCGGCAAACATATCCCATTCGTTAGATTTTTTTGAATTTTGTTTATCGTCAATCTTTGCACTTTCCTCTTGTCTAGATTCTACGTTATCAAATTTAGACTTCCGTTTCTTTATATTTTCAGGAGACTTCACTTTCTGGGGTAGTGGTGGTGTATGGCTTTCTGAGGTAGAGCCGTTATTATTGGAAGTAACGTCTACCGATTTTGGTGATATATTAGACTGAACTTCTGATCTGGGTGTCACTGTCGTTGTGTTCATATCAGTGGAAAGGTTAGAATCTTCATTTGGTCCGCCTAGTCTCTACAAAAAAGAAACAGCTTTTAAATGACAAAATCTTTGACAAGTTATTTAGTATCTTAAATTTTGTATTCACCTTTAACAATTCTTCCCTTTGCTTTCTCCTTCGCTCAATAATAACCTCCTCATCTTCTTCTTCCTCAATGTCAATATCTTTAATTTCCTCTTCACTTGAACTCTCTGATCGCTCGATTTTAAGCCCCTCTGACAAGGAATCTTTATACTTGTCGCTGCGTTCCTTTTTTCCATTCCTGTCTCTGTCATGGTCTTTGCCGTAGCGATCTTTACGTCCTCTGGATGTAGATCTTGATCTTCTGTATCGATCTCGGTCCGATCGACCTCTTATTGGACTACGAGATCTCCTCGTACTTCTAGAGCGATCTCTAATTCGATCGTGACTTCTGAAGTCTTCTCTTCGATCTCGATTTTCGGTTCTGTCACGACTACCTCCCCGATCTCGTCCAACGTATCGTTCGCAGTCTCTACTAATATGTCGATCTCGACCAACAAATTTATCCCTACTGTCTCTTTTATCACAATCTTTATTTGTAGGTCGATCCCGACTTGGACGATCATCTCGATTCCGATGCCTGGAGTCTGCTCTGGAATCTCTAGATTTCAAATCGAGTCTAGACTTAAAATTATGATGATCGCTTTCTCTTTTTTTGTCATCTTCCCTGTAAAAAAAGTTGCGATTAATTCTTCTTCAACAACCAATTATTAATTTCAACAACCAAGTTAAATAAATACCTCCTCTCAAATTCTCTTTTACGTAGTTCCTCCTTCTTCAAGGTTTCTTTACGCCTATCATCGTCAATGCGCTTCCTTAAATCATCTTTTCTATCTTCTTTAGATTTATTACCTACTTTACGCGTTATTTTATCATCTTTACGTAAAATTTCTTTTTTAACGTCTTCTTTTATTCGAGGTTTCTCATCTCTTTTTCTGTCAATGTCTCGCCTTTTATCCTTGAAATCCTCTCTATTTCTCCTCGTCATATCAACTATAACTCGCCTTTCATTCTTCAACATTTTCTTACGTTCTCTGCTGTCTGATCTGCTTCTACGACGTCTTTTAGATATACTTTCATCGCCGCTATCATCCTCTACGAGTATTACATCCGGTGTGTCTACAATTTTCCCTTTGTCTGATTCATCGGAAAGATACTGCACTAAACAAGCCTGAAGCCGCTCCTTAAAAAATCAATAGAATTTAATTCCAATTATATAAATAAACAAGTAAACTAACATTATTAGTTATATGAAATATCTTTAACCTTTTGCTTCATTAATTCTTCTAAATCAATATCATCTTCAATGATGGTGCAATCAACTTCATCTGAATCTAAATCAACGAGTTTTTCCTCATCACTTTCTTCTGTGGTTAATACTTCCAAATAAGTCTCTTCTTTTCCATTGACATCTGAAAATGTGGTTCCTACTTGTGATATTTTCACCTCAGTAATGCCATTTTCCACTTCTTTTATCTTTCTAGAACGCCTGTGTTTTCTGTGTTTCTTCCTGATAAGGGAAAAGTCAATTTAAATTCCACAAGTCGTCCCATTATTTAAATGTAAATCTTACCTATCTTGTTTATCAATCTTTACATCTTCTTTTTCTAAAACCTTGTCCCTTTTATGCTTGTGATGTTTATGTTTTCTTTTCTTTTTTTTCTTTTGGTCATTAAATATCTCCAAATCAGAATTGACATCCATGACTTCCTTCTTTATTTCTGTATTTTCCATATCCGAGGAACTATAAAATAAATTATATATTGAAAATTAATAAATATTGTTTATAAATTAGGCATAAAAATTAAAACATAAAGATTTATGTATATTAAGAAACATATTGTTTACATTGAAATGATAATCTTAAAAAGTATAATTTAATTCGTAAACAAAATCCTTACAATTTAACGACCATAATATATATATGAAATATACCTAGTTTAATTTTTCAGTTCCTTAATGTAAAGAATGTAACGCAAAATAATTTGCAAAAATTTGTTTATAAAATATATCTCTTTTTCAAATGAATTCCCTTGTAATTAAAATTTTTTGACTTTGATAAAATGCATACTAATAAAACGAATTGTACGATATTTTTTACGACTTTCAACTCAACATCTATAAAACAAAGTAATTGATATAATTAGTACTCTGTTATTTTTATTTACCCCATATTGAGTAAAATGCTGCAGATATATTTATAATGTCATAAATTCCACAAATTAAATATAATACACTTTGTGTGAGTAAGAAAACCTCACTCGTTAACGGGACGCCATTTTGTATAAGCAACGATCAACAACAAAAAAAACAACCATATACAGAAAAAAAATTAATTTAAAACATTCGAAATGTAAAACCTCTTTTATTTCCAAGTTTCCCTTCTTTAGGTATAATCCACAATAGATGAGTATATCTTGTGCAATGCATCGCCTTTAAAGGTCTAAACACAACACAACTGAGTCGGAACGGAACGGAATGCGTAAGCTTCCACAACGTCGTTTTTGCGTTTTCATTGTTACACGACGCATTGCTCAACCAACCGATCTCCCGAAAAGCAACGCATGTTCTTTTAAATCCAATTATTGGAGAAAGGCCTTTATAGTCCAGTCAGTGCAGCAGAATTAAAGTTGAAAAAACTTGAAACTTATTGTAAATATTTGTGTACTGTAGTACATTAGTTTATTAAATACACACGTAAACAATAAAATATATATTTTTTAAATTAAAATAAAAAATAAAACGAAACGATGGCAACGTCTAATTCTGATGGTTTACCAAAAAGTTTTATTTCTGCAATGAAAACTTTATTTGATATTATGGATGATCAAAATACTGGTTTTATAAAATTTTCTGATATTAAAGAACGTTGGCAGGATGATGGTGCTCAGGTAATGAATTTCAAATTCCTAAAATTTCTAAATTGACAAGTATTACATTAGAAAAATTAAATATTTCAAATCTGAATAAAAATACATAATATATTATTTTATTATTTCAATTTCCTTGCAGTTTAAAATTTGAAAATGAGACTATCTGTTTATATTATAGTCTAATTGTATATTTAAGTTCTTTTTCAATTTGTTATTATTTATAATATTATAATACAGACTCAATAGAGTAATTTTTGTTTTGATTTGTTAACTTGAAAATGGTACTTAGGGTCTTCCTAAAGGTGTACTAGAAAGTTTGAAAAAAGTTGCCCCATCGAATGGAATGTTATCTTTTGAGAGGTTTTGTGCAGGTTTAAAAATATCTCTTTTGCATGTAAAAGTTGAAAGTGATGTCAAGAAGCACGATTCCCAACCTAATAGGCCTCCTTCTGCACCGACACTTGTTGAGGCAGACACAAAATCAACTTGGTCTTCTCCAAATACAGCAACAATTAGACCTAATAACGTTATCTCACAGCAGCGTACTCTAAGCATGCCTCAATTATTATCTGGACAGAAAGAAAGAAACTTACAATTCGAGAATGTTGTAGACTCTAGAAATTGTCACGATCAAAAACCACCAAAAACTTATGGTTTATCAAAATCCCGTCCAAATCCTATTCTTGATGGAAGAATTCTAAATGCTGATAGGAATTTCGACAAATCTGAAATTCGTACAGCTCTTCAAAATTGGCAAATGAATCTTTTAATGAATGATGACAAATGTTTAGATAAACGTCCGTTGCCTGATAGATATCCCGCAGAATCCAGATCTCTTTTAAGGCAAGTTTCAAATCTGGGAGATGAAAAAGTAGTGGAATTACAAAATAATCATGTCAATATTGATATCAATGCCAAAAAGGCATTAAGTCGACGTAGGGAACCAAGGCGGCATACATTGCAAAATGGAATCGACTATAATATGGTAGAGTTTATTCTTTAGATTTTTAATACATCAAATATTCTCATTATCTTGAAATAAATTAACCTTCAATAACCTAATGTTTGTTATTTGCAATTTTTTAAAAATATCTTAGATGAAGAGAATGAAACAAATTGAACAAGAGAAAGATGTTTTGCTCCAAGGTCTTGCTGCAGTTGAAAAAACTAGGGAATGGTATTTGAAACAGATATCTGTGAGCCAGGAGAAAATTAAACATCTTGGTCAGATGGGTTCTCATGTGGTATGCTTCATTTATCATTAAATATATAGGTACTGTATATGGTTTTTTAAATCAATTTAAATCAATAAAATATACAGGAGCAGTGGACGGAAGCTCAACAAGAGCGCTTGGAATTGCAAAGGGCAAGAGTCCTTGAAGTTAACCGACATTTGGCAGCTCTGATAAGCAGTTGGGAACGTGGTGGTCTATCATTTCATATTTTTTTGAGTAGCAATTCTCAGATGAATCAAAATATTGTTTCTAGATTAAAGCAACAAAATCAAAAATTAACTGAGGTAAGCCTCAAATTAAATATTCTAGTAAAACAATAAACAATTTTATTGTTTGATGACTGAGTGATGTTTATATTATTTTTTTCCAGGAAGTAAACAAGAAAGCCCAGCGAATTGCACTTTTGGAACAAGAGAAAGACAGTCTTTTACGAGAAATTAGACAATCCGGTCTTGTTCAATCTCGAAGATCAACGGTAATACATGAGCAACATAATCAAACGTTCATGTAAGATACTTATTGACATTTTTTTTATTCATACACTTGATGTCAGTTTCCACATGAAAAATTTTTTTTTAGAATATGACTACATTGCAGAATTAATTTTGCAGCAATTGATGCAGAAAAATTTCCCAACCAAAAGCATCTTGGAAAATTCCCAACTATTACTCGAAACTGAAACTAATAATTAGTGCTAAAAAAATATATATAAAGTTTATTACGACTTTATTGTAAACAATTAGGTGCATATTTTATAATCATGTTATCAAATTATTATAAACTGTTTCTACATATTGTCACCTTCTTTAAAAGAGGGGAAATCTTTATGCACTCATTGATTGCAAATTCCGTCCATTACCATTTATTTGTTTTTTAACGAAAAAAAAAAAAAATACTTTTCCAGCAAATATAATCTCTCAATATTTAAATGAAGGTTTGGCATAAAAAAACAAAACTTGTTTAAAACAAACAATTTTAAACTTGGTATATCTTGTGATTAAACAATTGTTTTGAATCAACAAGTTAATTTTCTAAAATATACAAATAAATATATATTACTACCAAGTTTCATTTAAATTGGTGAGGGTGCTTCGAAAAAGTATTTTTCTTTCAACATTCCATTCAATGTAAAGTCAAATGTTATCATCTATTCGTCATTGATAACGGGATTTCGATAACGAATCAAAATTAATTATTTTATCTAGAATGTAATATATTTTATTTTTAGTCAAATAAATATTTTCAAAATAAATATCCAACTTTTTAAAGAAACATTGTTCTTTATAATGAAAAAAATATAATTATGAAAATTTGTTTAATAATAAGTTTAATTAATTTATTGTAGAATATTTTTTGGGTCTTTATAAGGATAATAATGGTTAAAAATTGAATTAAAAAAAAATAATTTTTATCACATGTGTTCAAAGAAGAGTGAAGAAAAAATTGTAAGAAAAAATAAAAATATAGAAAGAACGTGAAAGAGGAGAAGAAAGTGCAATGCCTTCCTATGGATATGTATGCCTGTAGGTCATTTTTATCAGCAATTCACACAGCCGTCACCCCACGCGTGGTTTACTAACAGTTCAGATGTCTCGGGAGACTTGTCGTGTTCTCTTTTATATATCCTTCAGCTTCGATCTATTTCATTAACCGTGATTTGTAAGTTGTATTTATTTATTTATTTATTTATTTATTTAGTGAAATTCAATAATTTTCTGTTTATTGATATAATTTTTATTTATATAAGAAATGTGTATTACTAAAATATATTATAAATCAAAGAATATACTGAAATTAAATTTAAATCAAGTATTATAAACCAGGGTGGTCACAAGATTCAGTTCATCAATTTCCCTGACAATTTACTGACATTAAAATGATTGTCCCTGACAAAATTCTTTTTACATTTATAAATAGAAGAGGATAAAGTTGATAATATCAAGAGTATCTTACTTGGACTTGAGTGCTTCTTCATAAATACGTCTCAATTTCCTTAATTTTCCTAACAAAAAATTTCTTTTTCTGGCATTTCCCTGACTTTACTGACATGTGGCCATCCTGATAAACATTTACATATATAATATTTTTTTAAACTGTGAATAAAAATATTTCTATAGTTTGACATATACTTTCAAAGTTTCTGAAATTTGTTCTTTATTTTTTCTATTTATAACTAATGCCTAATTAATCTTTTCAACTAAAATTTCAATTGAAATAAATGTACATTTTATAGAATGTAACCTATTTTTTTTTTATTAAATATTCTTATTAAAAAATATATTGTCTAAATTTAAATTATATGTATTTCAGAAATTAATTAATATTGGAGATATATCATATAAATGCTTGATATATTGTTTGGATTATAAAAATGTTTTTAAAATTACCTACTTTGCTCATTTTATTATTTGGTAAGTACATTTATAAAATTAAAAAATATACAGAATGTTGGAAAACGATCTCCAAAAGAGCATGTCAATTAAAAATTTCTCAATTTGACGTTTCGGAACTGGATCCAGTTCCCTCTTCAGAATTTATTATATTTTACTTTGTACATACTGAAAAAAAGATATACATGGGTTTTTTGTTCACAAAGAAAAACAATAAATTATAATACTAATCGAAATTAATTCAAATTACAGTTTAGTTTAAAACAAAAACAAAAATTTTTATGTTATAAAACTAGTGAGTATATATAACTTTAACATTTTTTCTTTTAAGCTAAACTGTAATTTGAATTAATTTCGATTAATATTATAATTTATTGTTTTTCTTTGTGAACAAAAAACCCATGTATATCTTTTTTTCAGTATGTACATAGTAAAATATAATAAATTCTGAAGAGGGAACTGGATCCAGTTCCGAAACGTCAAAATTGAGAAATTTTTAATTAACATGCTCTTTTGGAGATCGTTTTCCAACATTCTAAATATTTAATAAATAAGGACGTTATCAAGATCAAGATCAAGATCAACTCATAGATCTATATTATTGTTATAAAAAATATACATATTCTATTGCAAGAATAATAATAATGTCATTATTCTATTCTTTACTCTGTTCAGTAGATAATACTTTAAGTAATAAATTTTCCAAGAACAATTTTAGATTTGATTCTTTTTATTTCTATTTAAATAATTAGAACATAGTGTTGAAAATGCTGTAGATACAGGAAATGCAGTTCCTGTATATTATCAACGAAAAAATATTCCGTTTATCTAATGTAAGAGGAATAGAATAAAAACATTATATGCAAGTAATAATAAAAGATAGTTCTCATTGATTCTATAATGTTTTTTTTAAATTTTCAGTAACTTTTTCTGAAGGGTGTGAAGATGATCAAATGCATAATGCATGTCGGATTATCAAAAACCAGTGTAATTGCGGTTATGGATGCAAATCGGAGTACAGATATTTAACCAAAGAAGATTGTAAAATAGCTTTAAGGGGTAATTAGAAATTTTTCAAGTTTTCAATGCTATGTTTAATGTATTTTTTTTATTTCTAAAATATAAGAATTATAAAATACTTTTAAAAAATTGCACGTTGTGGATTTTACATGAATAGTATTTAATGAAATGACCATTTTATTTGATAGGTGAAGTAAACTACTGCTCTGGTAAAAACCCATGCAAAAATGGTGTATGTTTACAAATCTCTGTACCACCTAAATATAAATGTAGCTGTCAGGGTACTGGATTTTATGGCTTGCATTGTGAAAAAGGTAAATATTTACTATAAATTTCTATAAATTCAAATGCACGGAAATTTCTATTCATTTGAAATTCCTCAAAGTTTAAATAACTAGAAGAGAATTTTTATTTTATAAATTTTTTGAATTTTCTACTAGTAAGCTAACAAAAAGTTTTTTTTTAGATTGCCATGTTCCATTCGATCATCGTCAAAGAGTCTTTCCGCCACTCGAGTGCATTGTAATTTAGGTTCAATAATACAAATGTTTTAAAATAATATAATTATTTTAGTCGATTTTCGTTTTTTGTACATAACAAATAAGTATTCAAAATATTTACAAATTTCACTTTGTAATATTCACCACTTTATATTTTTGTCATTTAATTAAAAGTTTAATTAAAAATTATGATTTAATCCTCCTTACTTTTATGTTTTTCAAAACAGATAAAAAAAAAAAATAGGTTCCTTTAGAAAAATGAGAATATAAAAAAGAATGGTAAAAAATTAGTAAAGTTTTTGAAATATCTGATGCTTTCATTGTTTATTTACCAACAATTTTTTTACAGTATGTCGTCATACGATGATTGTATCTATGGGTCACAAGACAAGCGTTTAGTTTGTACGTGCTTGTTTTTTTTTATTTATTATTTGTGATTATGTTACTCCTTTTTTTTCATTATACTTTTAAATAATGACACATTCCCTAATGGCAAGTTTTTTCCAAGTAAAGGTTATTTTGCCAATAGCCGTTTTTATCGTGAAACTTTGAACCAGTGAAAAATCGCCAATTTGCAATTATTATTGTATAGCTGAATCAAACGGCTTATACACGCTGATGAAATATCATATAATGGATTTATTACTAGCATATAAGTATACGCTGTTCGGATCAGTTGCATTTATAAATAAGTAGCAAATCAAATCAACGACTTTTCGCTGGTTTCAATTTTAAGATTATTATACAATTAAATGTATAACAATATTTTTAATATACAAAAAATATTCTTTTTTGTAAATAAAAATTTTGATTATTAATTTGACATTGTTGACAAACAAGAGACTGGGAAAATATGTTTTTAATTATAAAAAATATAAATTTCAACAACTGACAAATCCAATAAGTTCAAATAATTGAATTACAATCTTTTTCTAAGAAATTGATTTTAATGAAAATTTCTTGTAAAATTAATGAAAAATATTTTTTTAATATCTTAATGTGATTCATGTTTAGGAAAAAAAATTACTATTGAAATAATAAATACATTTTTGTAAGAAATTTTAACAGAAGAAATGTTTTAAAAATGTATTTAAAAAGTCTAGTCTTTCATTTTTTTTCTATACATATTATGTTTTATGAATTGAAGAACTTGTAATAAATCAAGCAGCAACTAGGTATGTCAATAACATTTTTTTTTTTTTTGTTTTTTTTTTGTATAAAGTTGACAAATTTCATTGATACAGGTTTGATCATATGTTATTTCACTTGTCCACATTTGTACGTTATGTACAAGTTTTAATTTGGTAACACGTGCGTGAAACAAATGTAGACCAGTAAAAATGCATATAGATGAAGCTGTATAAAAAATTTTTTCTCAAATTAGTGCGTGAAGCAACTGTCAATGAGATACAACTGACATTTTATTATTAGTTTCTACAATGTAAAAGAAAATTCATATAAATAAATATTGTTTTAACATTTAAGTATATTTTTTATAAAGACTGTCGTGACACTTATTAATCTTTTTTTTTTAGTAATGCTTTTTCCATCAATTCTAATCGATTTTGTAATGTCTCTCTGATGAATTAATACTGGAACAAAACTAATGCGTTTTTCACTTTCTATCGAAACTGCTTTAAAATTTTTCCATTAAAAAAAAAATATTTTGATAATGTTTGTGCAACTTAAATTCATCTCTCAGTGTTTCAATATTCATATAATGATTTAACACACTAAATTGAAATTAATAAACATTTCCTTCTTCGAAGTAGGTACTTTTTTAAAAATGAGATATATCTAACTGTTGGAAAATGTATCATCTGCTTTTCAGACTACCACCATTATTATTGTTGTCACATTAGTCTCAATTTGGCAAACATTCTTACGTTTGTATTTTTTAAAAATAATAATAATAATAATAATAATAATAATAATTATATAATCGTAATAATCTCGACGCCAATATGCGCGGACTAAAAGTAAATAATATACATACAAGCTGGTAAAGTGACCGTTTGGAGGTATGATCAATTTTATTCTTCAATGGCACCAGGAATATGCAGCGTTCTTTCTTGCACAAATCCACGAGTTCCATCAGGACCTCGTGGTTGTCTAACTACAGTTAATTTAGGACCAGCATCATCCAATGATATTGTTCTCAACCGACTTATTAGACGTTCAGGTCTTTGTTGAATCGCATCACTGAAAAAATTGCACTTTCGTCAACACTTTATACTCTTGATTGACAAGTATTTCTATAAAAAATAGTCTAGTACTTAATTTATTATTTGGTGAGAAACATGGTGAGAAACATGGTGAAAAACATTACCTTAAACGCGTAACATTGCAGGCTGAAGATTTTCCAGTTCGTTGATTTGTTACCAAAACGAATTCCACCTGATCTCCTGGTTGAAGAGTTGCGTGATCTCGAACCTCACTCATATGGAAGAACAGTTTTCTACCCTCATCTACTTCATACGTTAGAAATCCAAAGGGTCCTTTAACAGCATCCACTGTTGCTCTTCGTTTTTTGCGCACAGCAACAATATTACAAGCGTGACCCTCTGAGTCGACCTGCAGCTGCACTGGATCACCAGCTTGTAAAAGTTCCCGCTTATTTACCAAGCCCATTATACCAAATTCATATTCCGGTGTTTCCTCATCTTCTGTTGATGGATTTATTTTGATTAAACCTGCATACTCATGCTGTTCAGGATTAGCACTTCTCAATGGTCTGAGAACTGTTCCGTCCAATACTTCGCTGACTATTGACGGTCTCGGAATGCTTCCTTTGGATAAAATTTTCACATGATCAGCAGCAACGCATCCACCTGTTGATCTTCCATTAGCTGAATTAATTGTACATTCGATGTCAGCACCTAATTCCAGTGTAGCAGCATCGCCTTCAAAATTACTAAAAGAAAATTAACTTGTTATTAAAATTGTTGAATCTCAAAAGAGCACCTGAATCTCAAGAATGCCGCACCTGAAGTGAAAAAATATTTCTTTTTCGTGATTGACTGTTTCAATGAAGCCAAATCCGTCCTTCAGAGCAGCTATAAATCCTTGGTAAGTTTGTCCACTTGGTTTTTTGGTTCCATTTGTAGTTTTTTCATTAGATGTGGAATTCAGTTGCGATATGTCTACGGCAACAAGTTCCTTATTTCGTTTCACTTGACAGATGCTAAATTTAACCTGCCAGAGAAGAAATAAATTGAATAATAAAGTGTAAAAACAAGTGTAAAATTATAGTGGACAACATTTTTTTAATATACTCAGTAAATATTTCAATTACTTTATCTCCAAGGTTTGGAATACTTTTTGGGTCGCAGTCCTTGATAAAGAAAATAATGCTCTTTTGTTGACCATCCTTCAGGTACCCAATTAATCCTGGTTCGTTGCCATTGGTATCCTGAATAACATTACCTAACACATCTGCTTCAATGACTGTTTCAAATTGAACACTACCTGGTGGCAGATGTTTCAACCTAATCGCACTTTGTCTGCTATTAGAAAATGAAGAAGAAGGGTCCTGCAAAGAAAAAGAGAAAAAAGTTTTAATAAAAATTATTATTTCCACTAGTACTGAAAATAGTTATAATGTAATAAAGTTTTTACTTGAATAACAGTAAATTCCACTTCATCACCAACACTGATTTCCCTATCAACATCTAGCACTTCATTGAAATGAAAGAAGAGTCTGGGATCCCGTTCTACACAACGAATAAAACCAAATCCGTCTTTAAGAGCAGCAATCATACCCTGTTCCCTTCTTTCACCAGAGACAGTAAAAGATTCAGGCAAAAGTGATATTTCCGTTGCTCTTTTCAACTGATCTCTAGTATCCGTTGCAATTCTAAATTGAACCCAATCACCATGTCTGCAAATCAAAAAATGTTATTTCGTTTCAAAAATTAAGCAACTTTTTTAATTGCCTGGTAAATTTTAACAAACCTGAGAGTGAAATCTCCCTTCTGGTCTTTATCACCAAATGGTACTTCTACCTCCGAATGATCTGGCGCTCGATAACGTATCCTACCCGGCAACGGATCACTTTGATGTCTAGCTGAGTTACCTCGTTCCAAAGGCTTGATAACTTGTCCCTTAACTACATCGGTGCTTATTTCTTCAAAAACAATAGATCCAGGTGGCAATTTTGTTATATTACAAGCCACTTCTTTCCCCTAAAATTAAATTTCAAATGAAAGATAAGGAAAATAAATTCTGGTAATTTCTAGTAATTTCTAGTATTTGCTTTGATCTTACATTACGACTCTGAATAATAAATTCTACGTCATCTCCCAATCTTAATTCATCTTTCATAGATTTAGCTTCGCTAAAGTGGAAAAATATTTCCTTTACAACATCAGCGCGTTCGATAAAACCAAAACTTTCCTTCATCGAGCACACCACTCCACGATAACGTACTGGATGAACAGGATTCTCAAGTCGAACATGACAGGCTCCTAAATTCCCTCTGTAAGCAAAATTACCTTTTTAGTAAAATTTCAAACAAATTTCAATGTTTAACATTTTGACATTTATTTTATTATTTACGCACCGTTGGTTTGTGGCAATTTGAAATGAAACCTTATCACCTGCACGCAAAGTGACGTTTCCTTCGACATCATCTTTGGTATAAGGTAAAAAAAAACACTCTCCTCTATTCTCATAACTAATTCGCCCTTGTGAGTCACCACTTGCTTGAAGTTCTGTTGTAACGTTTCCTGTAACTCGTTCTTCACTTAAGACCTGTAAAAATTAGTCGATGAAAAGAGTGTAAAAAATTGGAAATTTTGCAAATTTTCCACATATACATATACAAACTCACCACTTCCGGAGCAATTTTACTGACAAAACTAGCAATCGGTTTACCAGTTCGACGGTCGTATGTCATTTCAAATTCAACTGGATCTCCAATTTTTAAATGTTCAATATTACCACTAAATTGGCTAAAGTGAAAGAATAATCTCGCTTGTCTTTCACAGCATTGAATAAATCCATAAGAATGCTGCGATAAAAAAGAAAAAAAAACGTTCATTTTTAAGAGAATAAACAGGATTGCAACAAATATTTAATTTTGTTTTTCCCTGATTTCCAGACTTTTTCCTGACTGATTTTGACTCTAAAAAAATATGAAACGAAGATTTCCAAAAATTTTAAATTCAAACCTTTTTGAAATAATTAAACAACTTATAATAATTTAGATTATCATAAAATTTTTCAAAATAAAGAATTTTATCAACAATATTTTAAATAATTGAATTCTTTTGACCAATTTTAATAAAATTTTTAAGAATAATCACATTTTTTTTAAGGAATTCGACTAAAATTGTATCAAAAATAATTAAAATCCTGCAATGAGTTTTATTATTTATGAAAATAATTAAATTACTGAGAACAGTTTTATTATTTATAAAAATAATTGAATTATTGCGAAAAAATGTATAAAAAATTTGTAAATGATTGAAATCATGGGAAGTTTTTATTATTTATAAAAAAAATTTGTTTGCGTAAAATTTTATTAAATTTTTTTAAAATAATTGAATTTCAGCGAAGATTTTTGTTATTTATAAAGATAATTGAAATCATAACGAGAATTTAATGAAAATTTTTGAAAATAATTAAATTTCGGAGAAGAATTCTATTATTTATAAAGATACTTGAAATTTTGACGAGAATTTTTAATAATTTTTGAACATAATTGAATTTTTGTGAAGAATTTTATTACTTTTGAAAATAATTAAATTTCTGCAATTAGGTATATTTGTAACTTGTTCAAAATTCAATTCTTTTAAAAGGTTTTTTAACTAAAATTCTTCTATAAATGCATAATTTTTAATAATTAATGAAATATGTATTAAAAATGTAACTAATTTCAGAAGAAAATTCGAATTATTAAAGTTTTTAAAATTTCTAATTAAATTCCTTAAAAATTGAGAGTTTTCTTATGAATTTTAAAAATTGAATTTTTCCTGACCTGTGGCAACCCTGATGAAAAAAATGAATAATAATGCTTACCAATAATTTTTCAATAATTCCCGTTTCGCGTGTTCCTTGATTTCCAGATTGATCTTGATAAGAAGAATTATTAGTAGCTGGTTCAGCAGTGAAGTTACTTTCCATACCTGTGAATGTGCTTATGGGAAACCTAGCGGACCCATTTCGTGGTGACTGTGAATTAGGGAAAGTTCCATAAACTGAAGAGTTTTTTCCACAATCGGGGGGTGAATTCATATAATGATCACCGCTAAAGTTAGTTCCATTTCGATAAGTATTGGTGGATTGATGAGGCAGAGGTAAAGCTTTGGGACTCGTTATGGCCATAGACTTGTATTCAAGGATTGCTGGATCTGAATTCATGATCGGCGGCTGGAACGTTTTCCATTGAGGATTACTTGACATTGTTTAAAGTCGATGCTGGTCTCTTTAGATTTGCTAATTACTTGTTTGTCGAAACAATTAGGTAATTTCTTTTATAAGTTTGCGTCTGTTTCTCACTCAATATATATATATCTACATATATATATATATAGATAGATAGGTATATATATATATATTTATTTATTTATTTATTTATTTACTTATATTTAGAAATTTTAGTCTTTTCAATTATTTAAGTGTTAACATAGATATCACAGAATGGTTCTTGGTACCTTATATCTTCGTTTGCTATTACGACTTTACGAGAACTTAATAATGAGGAAGAAAGGCTCTTTGAAATGCTGCAGAAATTGCTGCAAATGCTCTTTTGTGACCAGGAAGTGGGAAGGAAGGTATTTGTTGTATTTCAATACGTATCATCGATAGCCGATCAAAAAGCACCAGAATGAGCGAAATTGTTACTCTCAATTTGGGTGTTGTATAAGTAGCATTGACAGGAGAGTAGCAATTCTTCGAACGCAAATCACGGTCACTGTACTGTGTATATAGGTCCTTCTCATAAAGCGTATCGCGACACAAATATATAAACGAACGATACAATTAATACCAGTGTTATCATGTGTACAAAATTCTCAGCACATCTTATACCGTTGATACTTTCTATTTATAACAACTGTATTTGATAATTTTTAAATTTAGTATATTCAAGAATAACCAAAATTTTTCTTCTTAAAGATCAGTCATCCTTTATAAAAGAAGACGATTAAAAACATTGGTAATTTAAAGAATAAATGGTTGGCTTAAAAATCCTCAGATGTCTTCAATGCGTGCTGAATGTGGTTGTGTCGTTTCAAAAATTGTTTTTCGTTTTTCTTCAGCTTTTTTATCTTGAATTTATACTGAGCGTTTGTTTCAAAAATGTCCTAAACTAACAGTTACACAAACTGAAAACAGAAATAAATATGCACGTCACAATTCATTGCTTTAAATGAAATACAAATAATATTACAAAATTCAATTTCAATTTCAATTTCAATCTTATTTCTAAATAATTCAATTTTTCTAATATCAAACTATATAATTTTCTCCTTTTTCAAAAAAAACACAAAAATCTATTACGAAAGTTCTATTTTCGCAACTGACAATTTTCAAATTTAAGAACATATAAACATTTTTGACATATAACGAAACATTTCAAATAAATTGATAACTCTCTTAAAAAAATGTATAATCACTACTTCATTAATTTCATCTATTAATAAATTAAATACCTATTTGAAAATAAAATGAAAAGCGAATAAAATTAAAGAATGTCATTCAATAATAATGCAATTGGATAAAAATAAGTTTTTCATAAAAGTAAAATTTATGAATTAGACATATTTATAAAATATTTTAAAAAATGAGCATCTAAAATATTAAAGTGAATAAAAGTAATATTAATTAAATCATTAATTTTGATGTGCATACAGTGAGTTGAATCATAATATCGAATGGAGTAACACACTCCATTAAGAATGAGCCTTTTGGGGTCAGAAATTGTAAATATAAGACTAAATAAAACAAAAATAAACATGAATTTTTGAATAATTTGAAAAGGGCAATAAAAATGTTTAAAATATGGTAAACAGTAGAAAATAATTAATTATAATGGTAAAATAATGCTCGCAGAATGGAGATGTCCAATACATTGTCGTCGGTTAAAATTCTAACTTTTTTACGGAAGGCTTTAAGATATTTAAAACTCACAATAACCGCCAAAATGTCGTAATTTTATAGTCATCAGTAATTAAGATAACAAATTAATTGTTATCATTTATCAGTGTACAAAAATTGTATAAGATAGAAATTATTAGAAAACTCACCACGAAACAGCACAGCACTGACGACAGCCGCCATGTTGAATGTCAACATTCACACTCGCATACAAAACAAGAGCAATTTCAATTGTTCATCCTTCTTTACCGACGAATTTTGTCTAATATTTCAAAAATTTTAACAATTCTATCTATAATTTTATAATGATTTTTTAAGACAATAATACTTATGTTAATTAATGAAAAAGCTTATATATACATATTTGAATAATTATAAATTTTGAAATTACTTTATGCAATTGAAAATAATTTTTATTTTTTAATAATTATTTTTTTGTTCCTCAATCGCAATATGTGTATTAACCTTTAAGATGTAGTCGCAGCAGAAAACGTAAGGTTGAGTTCACAATAGACTCAACCTTGTGTGATCAATGAAAAGATGCAAAATCAAGATTGCAAAGGCTATGCATTGATCAAGTTTGTCAATTGTGGACTTGGCCTGAAAACGCTAAAATGTGCGTTAAGGCCAACGCAGAATGAATACGGATACGCATACGGAAACAGGGCATTGGAAAGAAAAGGACGCAGACAGCTTCTGTCATTATCTTTCGCAAGTCCTGTTCCCGTATCCGTATTCATTCTGCGTTGACCCTTAAAGAAGCATTCAGACTAAATTTAAATTCACTAACTCTCTTACACTTGTACGTTTCCATGGCAACCTGCAGGCAGACAAGTTACAACAGAGGTCTGAATGTTCCTTTAAACGCAAGCATGTAAACACAGCCTCAAGCATTTAAAAAAACCTTTCTATGAAAAAAACGAAAACCCAACAGTTAGAATCAATCGAAATCGGCGCTTACCGCCCGGTAGATTTTTATTACCTGATTATTAATATTAAAAATTAAGTTTATGCTTAATTTTTCCGAGTAAGTAATTATTTTCAAATATTTTAATTTATATACAATTTTCTAGAAAAGTATTTGTTGAAACTGATATACTTGTTATTTTTCACATAACCTCACATTTTGAATTTTTGCATTTCTTTGATAATATACTGATGATAAACTTTTAAAAAAAGTTTTGTAGATATTTTCAAATGATATTATATTTATTTTTTTTAATTGGACAATTAAATGCACTCGGTTTAAAAACAATAATTTTTCTCATGTGTTTCTACTTAGTTTCTTAATTATTTACAAATTCTATTTGTAATTTTTCATTTTAGGTAGAACAAGTTTTGATTCATTAGAAAGTTTATCTTTTAGAAATACAGTTGATGCAATAATTGGTTTCTTAAATCATTATTTCAAATGTTAGGAAAAATCAATCTATAATTGAAAAAAAATATAAAAATTAAATTATGTTTCTTACAGAAAAAATGGAGCCACTGAAAATTCACCTGGATTCCTTGGAAATGGCAGGAAAAATGGTAGACAAACATATTAATGCAGACAGTAATTTTCCGTCTTTAATTAATCTTATGAGATATACTGCACAAGGTACAGTAGACAAAAAAATGTTACATTAATATAACTTTATTTTTATACAATTAAGCAAACATAAAATTGTTTAAATGTGATTATTTTATTTAATATATATTTGCAGGTGGTTCAACAGTAAGCGGTCTAGATGTATATGATTATCCAAATTTAAATGGATCTAATTTATTAAATGTAAATCACATGAAAATTCACAGTAAAATTCCTTTACCGTCGGAAGTTATGGAACATTTTGGACGTATCCTTTGAAAATTATGTTTATTTATTAATATAAAAAATATAATTATGAAATAATAACAGTTATTTTAAAATTTGAATGAATTTTCCATAATATATATTTAGATATGCAATGCCACTGCATGATGGGGATTTTTACGGATATTTCGAAAGCGTGGCTTACTATTGACAGTGACATTTACGTTTGGTCTTATGAAAATGAGTATGTTTTACATTAAAAATAAATAGAATTGAAACTATAATAACTGAATATTTAATTATCTACAGATCTGATGTGGCGTACTTTGACGGATTGAACGAAACAATTATTAGTGTTGGTTTGGTGAAACCAAAACCTGGAATATTTCAAAGTTACGTGAAATATTTACTCATTTTAACAACTACTGTCGAAATAACTGTCCTTGGTGTTACTTTAACTGAAACGAAGAATGGTAAAATTTCAGTAAATTCTAATATTAAAGTTAATTGTTTAAATATTATGTACAGTTTTTTAAAAAAAATATATCTTGTCATTCAAGGTTCTCAAGGAGAAATACAGTTAGTTCCAGAGCCAATTTTTACAGTTGCCACTGATGGAGTCGCTATTACGACAATTGCTAATACAAATAGTGGAAGAATTTTTCTTGGCGGCAGAAATGGATCTCTTTATGAAATATACTATCAAGTAAAAAAAAATTAATTTTATAATAATATTTGTCATAAAATAAAAAAAAATATTTTATATTACTATTTTTAGGCGGAAAGCAGTTGGTTTGGAAAACGTTGTAAAAAATTAAATCACTCGGAAGGTCCACTATCGTTTCTAGTTCCTTCATTCGTTTCAATTGCATTAAGTGAAGAAGAATCAATTATTCAAATATCGGTAGATGACACGAGGCATATTTTGTTTACTCTTGGAGATAAAGGAAGTATAACTGTTTGGGACATTGACAATGGAGGAGCATCCAAAATTACAACTATGACACAAAGTACTCTTGTACAAAATTCAGTTCATGCTGTTAAGTGGGTATTTTGTTTTTATTTCTTAATTATTTTAATAATTTAACAACTTTCACTTTTTCACTTTTTTTGTTATAGAACCCTTGATAGTAATAATTTTCGGCCCTTGGTCAGTATATCAGTTATTACAGAATCAGAATCGCAACATTTGAATTTAGTTGCAGTAGCAGCAACAGGAACTAGATTTTATTTTAGCTGTAGTTCAGTTTCAAATCCTTGCAGTAGACCACAGGGTCTTCAATTAATTCATGTTAGATTACCGCCTGGCTATGCAGCAAATGCTCCAGTTCTCCGACCGAGGAAAGTTCAAATGGCCCATTATAGAAAAGGTTAAATTTATTTTATTCAAGAAATATTTTAATTTGAGCAAATGTAATTTAATATTTTTATAATTTATTAGGAACATTAATATTGACCTGTGGCGGAGATTCTGAAACTGTATGGTGCTTAACAAATGATGTTTTTCCCTTCACCACTTATCTTGCTGAAACACAAAGCATTCTTCCACTCGACAGCCCAGTTTGGTCAATGGCAGAAATTCTTGGCGAACCTGCAATACAAATAGAGACGTTTAATGGGTTACAAGGAGATCCTCCTCTTTTAGTGAGGCAACATATGGAACCACCTAGGAAATTTATTTTTTTAACTGCACAAGTAAGTGGACATTAATTTTATTCACCGTCATGAAATTTATATCTAGATAATTCAAATTGTAAGCAAATAAATGTGGAAAAAATAAGTGCTTTTAAGAATATTATTTTTATTATGATTAGTATAATTAGTTTTTAATATTTTAGGGAGCAATAATATTGATTCAAGAACGGCCAGTGGATATTCTTCGGCAGCTTCTTTTAAAACAGCGTGGACCTGATTCAGAACCAGTCAGAGCTTATTTCCAATCACAATCACCAGAACAAGCATGTGCTACGTGTTTGATTTTAGCTACTCTTGAAAGTTCTCAAAATGTTCAAGTGTGTTTTTATTCATATATTTATAATATTTTATTCTTACATTTTTTATCCAATTTGATTTGTTTTTGAATTTTGTTAAATCTTTCTAGTTATCCGAATGGGCAACAAGAGCATTTTTCTTATATGGAGGACAAAGGATTTCCAATGTATCAAACATGGAGATTCACAGTGGATTTCCAAATGCAGATCTTCGGACATCAACACCCAGAATGCAAGGCTTAGAATCTCGTTCTATATTTAGATCTCAACAAATGGGTATTTCCACAGATTTGACATTGCAGCAATTTTCTGGAAAACACGGAGGCCTATATCTTTATGTTGGCAGATTGCTCAGACCATTTTGGAATTTAAGATGCATTAAACAAGAAACTGTTAATAACAAATGCCAGGTGAAAAAATTTTTTTTTTTAAATTTGTTATACAACAAAAAATATTATTGTTATTATTATTGTCATTTACTATGAAATGCTTTTAGATTCTTAGTACAGTGTCATCTAACCAAGTTGGATGGATTTTGGGACATTTGCAGGCTTTAAGATCATTCTTGAACAAAAACACTTACATTTCTAAACAGTATGTTTTTAATAATAATTAAAGACCGAACATTTATTTTTCAATTAATTTTAAAAAATTGTATATTAAATTGTAGATGTTAATTTGAAGTAATTTAGTTTTAGAGATAATTCAACTCGAAATATGACGAACGGCTTTGAAATAAGTCAATTCAATGAACCAATTGTTGAGGAAAGAAATTCTTTAGACGCTTTGAAAATTTTTATTACTCATGCTTGTGAGATTCTTGGTCTTTGGAAAATTCTTTGTGAAAATCAACTTCAGAATATAGTTAATTGCCTTTCAAAGGTAACTAACGCTTATCTCAATAATTTCTACTGTTATTTTTTTAAAATTAAGTAGATTATTTATATGGTTTTTTTAAAAAATATTTTAGGAACAAATTAATCAGTTCTCGACTGCGACATTTAGAGATTTAATTTTAATCGGCCATGAAATATCATCTTTGCTTATTATTCACTTGATTGATAGGTGAGAAATTATTATTTTCTTTTTGTAGCAATGTAGTTTTGAAATTTTTTAAATTTATTAAGATTAAGATATATAGATTTATTAAGATTTATTTATTGTACTGCAAACTTAATTTTATATTATGAAGAAACAATTATTTTTTAGTTACTTAGGTGATAATGCTTCAGTTGATGCAGTAAGTACAAAATTACGCGAAATCTGTCCCAACTTGTATAGAAGCGAGGATGCTATTTGTTCAAAGGTATGGAGTTTTAAATTAGACACTCTATTTTGTTTTATTTTTGTAATAATTTTAGTCATGTATTTAACAGGCTAATGAAATTATTCTAAAAGCAAAAAGTTGTACAAATTCCGAGGAAAAAGAAACGTATTTGCAGTCTGCTCTTAAGGTGCGTATTACTAACTTTTTAATAAATAAAATATCAATTCTTTGCTTATGAATATGAAATTAGTGTCAAGGTGTCAATGATAAAAAAAATATTTAACAAGAAAGCATTAAAAAATGATTATTTCTAAAAATATGTTTTAGTTGTGTAAAGAAGTTGCTCCAAGATTAAATTTGGCAGCTGTTTGTCAACAGTTTGTAGCTTGTCAATTTTATTCCGGTGTTTTGGAACTTTGTCTTTGTTGCTCAGAAAGAATTGATCCAAACAATGCTGCATTGCATTATTATAAAAATAACGAGCCAATTGAAGATTATGAAGGCAATGCTGCTTATTCGAAACGGTATGATTTTTATTTGATTTTAGAAGAAATAATATTCTGTGGAGTTGGATGATTAAACTCAGATTTTCCAACAGGTTAGAGATTTATAAAGAATTCACTGCAATGTTGGATCATCTGTACAATCAAAGTATTTCTAATCCTTTGAATCCAACAATTCCAAGCAAACCAGGTCCTCCTATTCGAAGTATTACAGGGATTAATGCACCAGCAAAGGATGTGGTAACAGTCATATTATAGATTACTATCGAAATAAAGTAGGTAATCAATTATTTTTTATTGAAATAATGTTTAATTACAGTTACACGAGATTATCGACGAGGCATTGCATTCCTCGTGTGAAACTTTACATGCTTCAATTTATTTGTGGATGATTGAAAAAGGTCTTCATGGAGAACTAATCGCACTCGCTGCTCCTTCCTTGGAAGCATATCTTATACGAGTTGGAGCACCAGAATTATTATGGCAGTATTATGAACGAAACAAAAATCACGCGGGAGCTGCCAAAATCTTGGATTCACTGGCTACAAAACCTGGGTATGCATTTATCAACATCAACAATTATTATTATTAGCTGCACCTTTCAAGGGGATTACTATCTATTACCGTGTGGTTTTTGTTTAAAGAACTGGCGTTCCTTTGACTCAACGTGTCGAATATTTAGCTCGTGCAGTAATTTGTATGCGAAGTGACAGAGCAGGGTATGCTCCTTATCTTGGAGTTTTTCTGCGAGAACTGGAAGACAAAGTTGAAATAGCAAGAATTCAGCAACAGGTATTTATTTCTATAAATAAAATCTTTTGCTACCGCTATTCGAGTGTAAATATTTTTAGTATATTTTTCTTTCTTGTAAAAGAATTCAATTTATTTTAATTCAATTTCAGATACTGGAAACCATTGCAAATGAAGAGAATATTCTTGATCCTGCCACTGTTCGAGATGCAAAGATAAGATTGAATTCTTCCTTATTAGATATTACACAGGTATTTTAATTTAATCTAACTACATATTAATTTTTAATAGAATTACATACAAAAATGTATTGTTAATAAAATTTTGTAGTGGAAAATTAAAATGAAAAATATGTTTTTCAGTTATATGAAGATTATGCGGAACCACTTCAACTTTGGGAGTGTAAATTGGCAATCATACATTGCTCAGGACATCAGGATTCAATGTTAATTCAAGGAATTTGGACCAACATAATTGATAATGGTAATATTTTTTTTCATATGTATTCATATTATTATTATTGTTTATACATGATTTAGTGTTATTTATTATTCTTTCGGTACAGAATTAAGAAACGCCACGTCTCCATCATCTGAAGATAAGTTAGTAATTCTCTTGACTAAAGTTAAACAACTTGGACAAGATTACTTTGGAAGTCCACATTGCTTTCCCATAGGTATGAGTTGTTATTTTGATAATAAACAACATAGTTAATTATTATTAAAGTTTTATTTATCTTTTTCTAGACTTTTTATTAAAACAATTGGAAATTCGAGCTTGTCGATTGAAAATCTCGAATGATCATATAATTAAAGGACTTTTGCAATTAGGAATCCCAATCGAAGATCTCCTAGATTACTATGATAAGTAAGAAAATATTTTAAAAAAAAAACCTATAGTATTTAAATACTTTTTACGTTATAATTCAATACAATGTTACAATTTATTTTATTAGAATGATTGGAGGAAATAACCGCACGTGGCTAAACGAAGGCAATGAATTCCATCTAATTGAATCAACTATGAATCTAGTTAATTACTTCATATCCAATTCAACTATAACTAATAACTTTAACAGGTAAAAATCATTATAAACTTGTAAAATAAGTTTTTCACTTTCTTAATGTTTAATAACCAATGCAATTTTTTAGGATCAAAATAATTACAAAGTGCCAAGACGTTATTTCGAAATGTCTGACTACACTGTTTAGTAAACCAAATGGAGGACAATTAATTGAAAAACTGCGATCGATACAAAGTGTGCTTAATCGTTTGTAAACATTCGTATTGAACTTGAAGTAAAAGATAAAGAAAGAAAACCAATACACTCTTATGTAAAAAATCATTCGATATTTTTATTATATAATATACAGTAGGTACTTTTTTTAAATACTCTGATATTTTGCAATTGTTATTTTTAATAAACACATTCCGATAGAAATTATTTACAAATTTGGAGAAACTGGGGTTATTCCGACATGAATATAACAATATAACGTGATCGGAATCACCCCATCTTCTTTTAAATATATTCATTCATTTACAATACCTATTAATCTTGCTCTGTCAAGTATTAATCAAAACTTAAATTCATCAGAAATCTAATTAATTGAGAAAAAGTAGGTGAAATTAAAAGATAAAATCTACAATACTGTAATATATAATTGGGTAATATGAAAGTAACAAGAGTGTCAATAAATTATTCAAAAAATTGATACAGGTCTCTAATACGGTAAATAAATTAAATTTTATTTTTAATTATAAAATCCATATTTTTCACTCATACTTAACATTCATACAATAGTTTACTAAAAAATATTATTTAACATTACTCGTATTCATACTCATTCATATATACTTAAAATTTAATCATTCATTCATTCTTTAAAATTGTAAATATACATTATTTTTATCACTTTTATCAATTGCCTACAGTCTTATTTTATTATATTTATTGAAGGGTCATACTTAGTCAAAATAATTGAAGAAATTATTATTTACATATTTTTAAAATTGATGTCTTTTATATATACTTGAAATAAAAACTTGAATTTTAGAATAAAAATTAATATGTGCAGAACAATTTTCATCAATGAGAATAGAAAAATTTCCACAAATGTTGAGTTTGCAGTACAAGAATAGTGTACGCGTAGAAGAAAGGCAATATTCATTTCTATTAAGATATGAAGAAATAGTCAATGCGAGATATAGACGTAAAGAAAAAGTATCTTTTGACCAAGTATAATCTATTCAATAAATTAGGTACTCTTAAAAATAATATTAAAAATAATAACATCAGCATGTCTACGATATAAATTCCCATGAAACAGTATTACTACTAGTATTACTGCTTGCCGCTCCCGAAGAATTTCTACTCATTTGTGGCCAATCGAAATGAAATTTTTCATTGTTATCTGCATTTAATTCATTATTCGTTTTCGTTTCTTTATTAGAAGTAGTTAGCCTAGATCTAATTCCTAAAGTAGTTGGCCTTTTTGATGGATCACAATCCAGCATCATTTTCAACAAAGAAAACTGTAAATGAAATAAGTTCAATATTTGATTCTTTTCAAAATTAATAAATAAACATTAATAAAAAAAAAGAAAGACATGTAATAATTGCTTACTTCTGTTGGACATTGAATTTGAAAAGTTTCTGGAAAGATCAAGTTTCTCAAATTGGTCAAAGCTACAACTCTTTCCATTTCAGTTGAAAATGGAGTTAATAGCTCAAAAAGAATAATACCTAATGAATAGATATCTACTTTATAATTATATCTTTTTCCATCCATTTGTTCTGGAGACATATATAAGCGAGTCCCGACCATTGCTGTATGCTGAACTCCCTCTTGTGATGTTACTTCTGGAGAATCACACGGCGTATGAATTTCATCTGAACTTTCTGTCATTGCAACTAATCCAAAGTCTCCAATTTTCACTTTTTTATCAAACGACAGAAAAATATTTGATGGCTAAAATTTATTAAGTTTTAATTGCCTTTTGTTATTTGTGAAAATCGTTTTGTAGTTGATAAAAGTTAAAGTTAATTAAAGTTACCTTTAAGTCACGATGAATAAGACCTTGCAAATGAACATATTCCACTGCATTGACAATCTGTTGAAAAATATTTAATACTCGAGTAGTATCTCTGGATTTATTTTGTTCCTTCAACCATTCTCTCAAACTCATTTTTTTACATAATTGCATTTGTATATATAGAAACATTTTGGCAGATTTTTTATCAAATTTTTTATCCTGAATATTTAAGCTTTCCGAAGCTTTTCTTTTTTCGCTCGTTTGAAATACGATAGATTCTGTACTATCGTAGTGAACTTTACTGACAATTAATTCTTCAACATTTTTGGATAATTCTGATTCTTCTTGTTGTAATTCACTCGCGTAATTATTAGTGAATTCTCGAGATATTTCACTTTCTTGTAGTTGGTCACTTTCATGAGCTTGAAAAACTATAAATGAATCATTATCCTTATCGTTTAATTTCAAGGCTTCAAAAGCACTATCCACAGAAGATTGGTCACTAGGTGCAACATTAATGTGAATAGAAGTTGAAGATTTTACATCATCAAGATATGAACTTGAAATAAAATCACTGCCAGGAAATTTGTTCTTATTTATCCAAAATTGATCAAGCTCTTCTTGCCAACCAACAGGAGGGCACTCTATCCATGCATTAAAATAGCGTACGACATTTTGATGATCCAGTTTCGCAAGAGCTCGAACTTCTCTCATAACTCGTTCTCTAGAGGTGCGACTACATAAATAAAAATCATACTTATTAGAGATTGATGAGTAAATAATATGTAAGTCAATTATGCAAGGAATTAATATGTTTACCTATTGGGTAGAGTTATTCTTTTAATTGCGTAATTGCATTCATCTACTTTATTTTTTGCTTCAAAAACAATTCCATATCCACCTTTGCCTAGGCAATCTACAGGTTCATAGTCTGAGAGAAAACGAGAAATGAATTCGCCACCATTATCAACAACTGCTTTTTGACTCTCTTCATTTTTTTCTATATGAGTCTCAATAATACAAGGCTGCAATTAGAAACAAATTTTCAATTGGAAACAAATTTTACAATTATTAAAAACCAATTAAATTAATTAATCAATCTTACTGGAAGGAGAGCGTCTTTAATAACTGCAGTGGCATTAAAAAGACTTTGTGTAAGCATAAAATTTAAAATAATCGCTGTTGTGATTGAAATCAGTAGTACCTCTTTCCTAAATGTAAATAAATTTTATCAATAAAATATTAATTTTGACAAACAATACCTATTGAAATAAATTAAAAATTGCACACTTACCACCAATACCAAAGGGAAATTATAATTACAGGTACAGAGGTGTCCTCTTCATTTTCTTCAAACTCATCTAGTGAAGACTTTTGTGTTTCGGTAGGGTTCATTTTGTTTACTATAGTTGTATTATTACATTGATTTTTACTATTAATGAATAACTGTTGCTTGGAATACAAAAAAAATCCATTACCTAAATATGAAAAAAAAAAACAATTTCTATATTTAATTATACAATTTCTTCATATATATACATACATACCATTTATATAATTTGAACTGTACAAAACAGACAAAGCAGTAGACTGAACATCATCATTTGACTCAATTAAAATATTATTTTCTATCCTCTCCTTATCTTCTTCTGAAAAAGCTAAAATAAATTTAATAAATTTTTAGCAATTTTAATTATCAACAATACATTCGAAAAATAAAATATAAATTAATACCAATTGCAGGATAAGGTTTCCATGGGAACATTGGAGCTATTTCTTTAACTGTAACAGGGGGATCCAGTATTGATTTCAGTTTTGGATTTTCTTGAACATATAACTGCATGTTATGCATGCCTAAATAAAGTCCAGGATTCATTGAAAATTCAGGATCAGATAATTTTTTATTATTCTCAAATAAATTAATTTCCTTTAAACCAGAATTATCTTCACTCTCATTATTGTCATCTTCTTGCCATATTGTAACAATTGGAGAACTGAACTATGGAAATATTTTTATTTTAAAAGAGTCTATATTTTTAAAAATTTTTAATAAATAGTATTTACTATAAATATGATTAAATTATATTAACCTTATGTTCCCATAGTTTTAATGTAGGATTATTTTTGTCAACGGCCCATACAAGTCCTTCAGGAATAATTACTTTTATTTCAATATCAAGAGGAATTTTTCTTTTATGACAATTGGAATGTGTCTTTGGCGGTAGTGAAAATCCGTGTTGTCCAACACTAAAATTCCATCTGTTGAAATAAAATGAATATTATAAATTTTATTCTTCAAATATGGCTATGAAAACTAATAACGGTTATAACTTGAAAACTAATAACCTTTCATGACCAGATTGAGATTCAACAGCTCGAATAGTTTGTTGATGCCTTTGAATAATAAGTACTTGTTTATTCATATAAGATTCACCGTCTGTCGTATTTTTACAACCGTGAACATCACATGTATATAATATTTCACCAGTTGAAAAAGCAACACCTATTAGAACATTTTTAATGATTTAATACGAAAAATTAATTAACATTATTTCAAATTATTCTTCTTCATTACTAACCATATGAACGAGTTTCTTTTCCTCCAGAAAATACCAAATCAGAATATCGAAATGAAGATTTTAATAACTGATCTGCAGATAAAGGAACTGCTTCCAAATTTTCGCCATCAAACTTATATAGTCCTCCATTCAATGATGGTATTAGTCGAACCCATTGCCCATGATTGTTCAACTAGATAAAAAAAATTCAATACAATTTAAATAATTAGAAAGAAAATAAAATATTTATATCATTTTCTTAATTTACTTCTCTTTGATGAATATTCGATGATAACATTGGATCTTTTCCTAAATCTAAAGTCCATGCTTTTCTTCCTTGATCTGCAGCATTCAGAGCAGATACTTTCCCATCCAAAGTACTAACGAACAAGAAACTGAAAAAATTTTTTTAAATATAAATTTCAATACATCAATCTAGGTAAAACAATCTGCAAAATGTACAATATACGTAATAATAATTGATTTTCTTAAATATTTTGTTTATTTTATTGTTAAAAAAAAGTTATTTATAAATTATGTACATTTTGAAAATATTTACAAGTTTTTAAAATAAACTACCTGTGTAGTGAAATATCATCTGATGTGGCATGATCACAGAATGGTAGTTGACGAATTTCAGCAGTGTTGACGAAAACGTAACAACCCAAAATAATTAATAGACAGTTGAATGCTTTTGTCCATTTAATCAAATTGTACATTTTTTACGCTTATTAAAATTAAAATATCATTTTTTTAAAAGTTGTTTAATAAATATTTTAATTTTTTATAGTCACATAATGAGATTTTGACAAATTTGTCTTTAATAAAACATAAAAAGCAATAACTGAATATTATCACTGCTTATAAATTTTTATAAATATATAATAAGTATAAATACTCAAACAATGTATGTACATAAAAATATATACAGTTCGAAAATAAAGTAAGTTTTAATAACTTTCATATAAACTGTAATACATTTTCCGCCATCTTAAAAAATTACGTCACGTGACTTTAAGGGTCCCATGTGTGAAGACCAACATTCTTAAAAGGGAATGCACAATCGTAAGAATGAGTAAGAGAAGGACAACAATATATGTTTGGTCTTTTCTTACTCATTATTACGATTGCGATAATGCGATTGTGTTAACGTTCCCGTTCCCGTCAGGAATCTATTTTACATTGACCTTGAGTGGAAAAAACAATCAGATATATATCCTTTTCACTCTCATGAAATTCTTTCTGCCAACATGAGACTGCACGTTTAAACTTTTTCCTTTTTTTAGAAAGAAACAAAATATATTTCTATCCTTTTCTCTCTCATAGTCTCTGATCATATGAAGTTTACGGTTTAAGCGTTTAAGCTTTATAAAGAATCGCAAACATAATACATGGGATAGAAAAAGATAGATATAAGTATATTTGTGTCCTTTCCTATTTCATGCATCACGTTCGAGAATCTATTCTTGAGGCTTGATGATTAGAAGTTCCATTCTGCTTGGGCCTAATGATATTGTAGTGTTGACTGTGACAATGACATTTAAATTGAAAAAGAGCTATAGTTTTGTGTTCCACAAGGTCAAAATTTAAATGTCCACTTTTTAAGTGCAACAATTTATTAGTTTTACGTGCTACCAAAGTAGAGAAAAAGTTGTTTTTATATTTTAGAAGAAATATTTATGAATTAGTACTTGATTTGAAATTCATCAACTAATTTGAAAGGGATAAACATAGCATGCCAAGTTCCTCCAGCCGTGGCTCAGGACAATTATAGATTTGGCTGGATCGCAAACAGTTGACCCATTGGTTCTTAATAAGTGATCTTTTTCGTTAAAAGTAAGTTGTTTTCATTAAACCTTGAAATTTATAATTTTCTTTTAAATTTATCACATTGAGAAATATTGTTTCATAAAGTTTACGAATCAAGTATTTAATAATTCTTATAATTTTATTTCTCTCTGTGAAATTTTATATTTGACGATTAGATTTTTATAATTAAAAAATGTTAGATTATGAGATACAATTCATGCAATGCACATGTAATTGTATAATTTTTAAATAATATCTTTAATTTGTAAATTTTGTTTTCTTCGAGAAAAGTCAGGAAGTATGGAAGGTCAAAAGTATTGCTTACGCTGGCATAACTTCCAAAACACACTATTGAGTTCTTTACCAAAGTTATTGGACGGAGGTCTTCTTACTGACGTCACCTTAAGTGCTGGTGGCAGACACATTCATGCTCACAGGATAATTCTTTCAGCTTGTAGTTTTTACTTCAAAGAATTGTTTAAAGTAATGTATTTATTTAAACTATCAACATTTTAAGAAATTTAAACTTTTTTAAATTTGTATTCTCTATTATAAATAGAGCGAGCTAGAATTTTTCATAAATTGATAAGAAGCGAAAATGGATAATTATATTTATATGAAAATGATTTTGTTTTAATGTTTTTTGCATAAATTTCAGGACTTGAATGCTTCTCAGCATCCCGTTATTGTTTTACCAGGCATGGAATATTCAAATTTATGTGCATTAGTCACATTTATGTATAATGGAGAAGTAAACATATATCAGGAACAGTTACCTGCACTTTTGGCAATGGCAGACACTTTGCACATTCGTGGATTGGCAGATATTACAGGGGTACGTCCTTTTAGCATGAAAATTTAATTATTTCAAATTCTAACTTTAATGAAATTTCCAATATCACTTTTGTCATCACACCATTGCGTTTATAATAGCAAATATAAATTCACATACTTCTTTCAGTTAAATTTTTTAAATTTTATTAGAAGCTATTACAGATCATTAATAAAATCCAATTATAACAATTTAGTTTTAACTTTTTTCTTTTATATGAATAATTCTTTATTAATTCTTTTTAATAAATGAAAAACTGTTGTTACTGTAAACGATTTTTTTTATTATTAACTAAGAAAAACAATAATGCATGGAGGAACAGAAATAAGATTCTACATTGGAACATTTTTAATTAAAGCAAATTCTCTGAAAGAATAAATTTTATTTTTGCTTTGTTTGTTCAGAGTATTTTCTATATCCTTAAACTAAAAGTATGCTAACAAAGTAGTTTTCTTTTATTGAGGTGTTTAGTGCACTAATAATAATAATTTACATTGATATTAAAAAAAATCATTATGTAAAATGAATATTTAATATTATATGATTATAAAGACGCTAAAATTTGATGAATTTGTAATTATAAATTTCGCTAACGCACAAAGCGTGTAAAATGAATTTCTTTTTTCTAAACCCTAATTTATTTAGGACCTGAATAATAATAATAATAATAATAAGTATATATAGAATGTAGTAGCACCACCACCTCATTAGCAGAATTAATGGGTCCCATGTATTTACATAGTCAATCCAGTTGTCCTTAACAAAAAACAAATTGCAAATAAACATTGCTTGTTCCCTTTCTAATCTCTATATCACCCTATGATCGTGTTGTTTTGTTCAGGTCACTTAAATACATTCACTGTCGTTCCTCAAGAAGTACTTCACACAGGATTTAGCCAGTACATTTTATATTCATATGTGCATCAAGGGAACGATAATGAATAAAAACGATATCCATGAGATCAAGAATCGTTGTGTGTGTTGCAACTAAATGCAAGTGGATGCATCCCATGGAACTTTATCCCATAGAATGAATTTACAGGTATATTTAAAATAGATTATTCATGATTTTTATTTTACATTTTTAATGGATAGCAAGCACTTAGGGACTAGAAATAAGACTTGAAAATTTAAATTAAAATTTCAATTAAATGTACCCATGGAGATTTCTTTCAAATATAAGTATTATTATCTCGTATTCATTCATGCCAGCTCTAACATAACCAATGATATTAATTTTTCCACTCAAATCCCTCAAGCTGGTTTGACAATGTACTGATCCTTCTTTCTCCTCATGGTGGATTGGTTGTGCCTCACATAAACTGATTTTTGTAATATCTTTATTTTATAATGTAATGTTGATTATTTTTACCAGCTTGAGAGATTAGTAAATGATTGTCAATTAAAAATGAGAATGCCAATTGTAAAAAAGAAATTTACATGTTCATGCTACTTTTACCTAATATTTTATTGTTAATAAATATTAATTTTTTTTTTTTTTTCCTATCAACCTAATTCAAAACAATATTTTACTTTAGATAAATTCAACTTACGACAATGGAATGATCGTCGATCCATCTCAAGATAAAGATGCGACTAATACGACAATAAAAACAGAAGTAAAAGACAGTAATCTAAATTCAGAAATGGAATCTGTATCTAGCAATTATGCTGTGGACAGCATAGAAGGAGAGTTGTCAAACGATTTGGATAGTATGTCATATAGTGTAAAAACGAAGCCTTATTATTCTATAAATGCAAAACTGAACCAAAGGGAAAAGAAGCCTGTGATTGGAAGTATTACTCCTATTAAATCTATTGAGACTAATTATAAGACAAATGTAATTGAAGAATCGTCTCTACTTGTTGATGATTCAAATGCAATTGAAGATAATTCAAAGCTGCTTCCAACTTTAGATACAAATTTAAAATTCATCTCTGGATCACTATCTAACAGAACCTCACAAACTTGCAACAAAACTAGTGTAACTTGCCTAGTTTGTGGAAAACAATTGAGCAATCAGTATAATCTAAGAGTCCACATGGAAACGCATAGTAATAGTTCTTACAGTTGTGCAGCTTGCTCTCATGTATCACGCTCTCGCGATGCTCTTAGAAAACATGTTTCATACAGACATCCAGTAACATCACCGCAGAAACGTTCAAGATATTCTTCAAAATCATGAGTTGAATTTCACTGAAAATTTTAATTATTATTTATGTACAATAATAAGCTGTATATTAAACATTATACACAGAAATAATTTAGTTTTGAAGAATAGAATTAAATAAGAAGAGAGAAAGAGAAAAAGAGAGAGAGAGAGTATGCGAATGTGTCAAAACTTTCAATGTTTAAATGATTACTGTTTTCTTGTTATCGTTAAATTGTTTTAATAAAGACATTTTAGAATTTAAACTTTAAATTTTAATTTATTATTTTCAGTACTGTTATTGAATTTTTTTTAAATTATTAGAAACGAAAAAAAGACCGCATTGAGCGTTTGTAGATTTTTCTTTATTGCACAAAATAACTTTCTTATTATATTTAAATAATTTCTTAAATTGTACCTATTCCTTAATTTTATTAATTAAATTGAAAAAGTTTTCTTTTTGACTAAAGTCAAAAAAACAATAAAATACCTAGACATTATGTGTAATAAAAAATGATAAAAATTCAGTAATTTAAAAGTTGAATATTTTTTCAGTTTTCTTAATTTGAAATTAAAGAAAAGGAATACAAAATTTAAAAAGTTGTTTATTATTGTTAAAGTTAAACAATAATTATCTCACTTGCGTTACAAAAAATATACTTAATAAATCTAAATGTATGTTATATTATAAATAAATAAAATGCATTTGTAGTTAGTTATGCCACAATAATAATAAGAAAAACCTTTTTGGTTTTACAGAAGATTTATATCTTCTCTATGCGCCATATTTTTGTATTGCAGTCTTGACCAACAGAAATCAATGTTTCTTCATCTAACCAAACAAGACGAGTAATTTGACTCTGTGGATGTGCATCTGAAAATTATTAAATATTATTTTGTTTAGAATATTAATTTTTCCAAGTTTAAATTTTACTTTAATAAAAATAAAGCAATAACATACTTTTAATAATTGTGTGTTTTGCTGGATTGGTTAAGCTCCAAATTATGATAGTTGTATCGAGACTACCACTTGCTACCATGATTGAATCCGGTGACCAAGCGACAGAATTGACTCTCGCGTTATGGAAACCCCACTCCCGATTATGTGCAAACTAAACAGATAAAATTATTATTTAAACTTTGTTTTTTCTCTGGGAAAATCAGTTTTAGTTTCACTAATAGACTTATCAGCATGTTTGACACTTACCTTCTAATAATCCACAAGGTAAAAGTTAAAAATATATAAAATAGTTAGTATGAAAAAGTAAACAAAGTACATAAGTAAAAATAAATAATAATCTGAAATTACCTTATAGTCCGGAAGCGAATACAAAATCACCTTCCTGTTTGCATCGCAAGCTACCAAGTATTTATTATCAGGACTATACGCAACATCTGTTACTGCACCTAAATGCTCCAATTCTTGTTTAGGAGAAAGTTTTGAATCTTCCAAGGTGTAAATATAAACCTTATTATCAGAAGCCGACCCAACGGCCACTTCTCCGTTTTCTTGATTAATTGAAATACATGACGGCTCATAATTTACAGAACAAGTTGCTACTTTCTTTTTATCTTGAATAACAGTCAACTGTAAGAAAATACTTGAAATATTAACAAAATAAATGTTTGATATTATTGTTGATGTGAAAAGTACCTGTTTAACAGATGCAACGACAACAATATTGCCACGAATATCAAGACCTCGAGGTTGGGAATCAAGTTTTAAAGCTGCAGATTCAATGTAGGAATTGGTCTGAATATCGACGATTCGCAAGGTGTCGTCTATTCCAGCAGTGTATAAATAATTATCAACTGCCTTCATTCCATTGATTTGATTTCCATGTCCTTGACCGTCAATTCGATCATTTTCTCCACTAATGGCGTTCCATTTTGTAATGTAGCCATCGTGAGATCCAGTAAAGATTGAATCCCTTTCAGGACTTAGAGCCAACACCGTAATTGGTTTGTTGTGTCCTTTTACTATTTTCAAAGGTTTAGTGGGATCGTCGACGTTAAGGTAGTTTATGAATCCACTGAGTGATACCGTTATCAAATTTGTTCCTTGCCATAAACAACTGACCTACGAAAAACAGTGACTCTTTAGTTTTTATCAAATCTTATATTTATGTATGCTCTCTTCCAATTATTGTGCTTTCAAACTTACTTGTTGATCATCAACCGCTGATCCCATGTTAAATTCACAAATCATTGATCGTGTTTCAACATCCCATAATTTACAAGTTTTATCACCTGAAGCTGTCAATAACTGTGTACCATCTGGTTTCCACGCAACCTGTTAAATAATTCTTTATTGCAAGTCTATGAAATATAAAATGGGAAATTGCATTTTTTTCTTACCCCATAAACTCCGCCTTGGTGGGCTGGAGAACCTATTTCACCAACAATTTCTGAAGATACTCCATCATAAATAAACACTTTTCCATCAAATCCCGCGGAAGCAAAAAGGTTCCCAGATGGTGAATAACGTACTGCTTGTACGAAGCGAGTGTGATCTTGTTTTGTCATCCTGAATTTAAAAAAGAATTATGATTATAAAACTGTTGTGTCAATTAATTACAATGTAAATAATTACAAATGTTTCTGAAACCAAAATTAATCTTACTTGAATTTAAACGGTGGACCCTCGAAAATGGCAATTGTATTATCTTCGCTTCCAGTTATAAGTCTAAAAGGTCTCGTGGGTCGAAAATCACAAGAATTAATCGATTTGCTTTGTCCTGAAATTTCACCCACAGATGTTCCAGTTTCTGCCATAAATACATGACCAAATCTAAAATATGTAGAATAATATTTTTCAAACACAGTATTAATATAAAAATGTGTTAAGACAAGATGAATTATTCATAATGCAATCTCTCTTGTTGTTCTGATTTTTCTAAATATTTAAAAAGTAAATTAATCACCTTTCTCTACCCTCACCAACAACAATTAAACGTTGGCTGTCTGGTGACCAAGCAATATCTTTTATAGGTCCACTAATGGGTTGAAATTCATTTTTTAAAATGTGCTCTTTGTTAACAGTATCCCAGATGCGAATTTTTCCTGACTGATCTAATTTTATTAAAAACAATTTCAATTATTATTATTATTTATCAATTTTATTAATATACATGAATGTTTAAACTTGTAAGAAACACATTATAATATTGTACCTACCTCCAGAAGCTATATAAAATCCACTGGGAGAATATTTGGCAACGTTTACAGGGCAAGAATGTTCTGTATAAATATCAGCAACAGCTGGATTCTACGAAAATGTTACTTATCAAATATAATAACTTAAATATTAATTTTAGTTCTTGAACACTACAAATCTTAAAATATTGTTTTCAAAAATATTTTTAAACATACTCACATCAATATTTCTAATAATAACACTATTCCCATTGGTGTATAAAATATTTTTACCCTTTGGATCACTACCCAAAACTAAGGGTTGACCTCTTTGCGTGCGAGGTAAGGTAGCAAAAATGAATTCTGCAATAGTTTTAAGTCACATTATTGCTTTTAATTAATTTTAGAAAAAATTAAAAGTAGAATGAACTATATTGTTTTCAACAGTAGTTATAAAAAATGCCAATTATTAAGAGGATATCAAAGTAGATGTCATCTTTTCATTGAAGCATCTACTTTGACATCCCCTTCAGATACATATACATAATTTAAACATTTTTTTATAGACATAAAAATCATTTACAAGTAAATTTTAATTGTTATAAAAAATTTGCAAGTTGTACAATTTATTATTATATTTTTAAATAGTAATTATTAATATCAATATAATTTAATATAGTTAATATAATGAGTTTACGTGGCGATCAAGATAAAGAAACTTTCCTATCAGTCATAGGACGACAGGCAAAACAGGCGTTTCATATAAGTTTCTCTCTTTCACACTTGTATGCTGTGACTGATATGATACATGACTGTTTTCTTATACGGTATTAATATGTTTGTGAAATTTAAAAAATAAAATTGGATGAAAAAACTTACTGGTTTCATAAGACATGTTTAATTGCAGTCTATTCGTTCAATGAACTTTTAATAAAATAATTCTCAAAATTTCTTCTAAAATAACACAATCAACCACTTTCACTAACTCGCTGTTATCTACGTCTGATGCACATGCACACTGTACTCTCAATGAACATAAAGTCTGTCTACTTTTGTCCCACCCAACGCCAACTCCTTATTTGGTTGCAGTGTGATTGACTGTACTGTACATACATCAAACTTTTCATTGATTTTAGTGATTTTAGTCAAATTTACAATACTCGATCATTATTTAAGTTACTTTCATTATAAACATTTTTTAATTAAAATTTATTTAAACTGTCTCTCAATTTTTTTTATTGTCAACATTAATTAAATTTTTATTTTTTTTACTATATTGCAATGTAACGCGCCGAGTCAGATTTGCGCGGTAAAGCTCTCAAAATTCAAACTTTTTAAGAATTTTTATATTGTCTTTTTAATTTAAATTTAGGATTTATTTTCGAAGCGGAATCCTCGACGATGATGGCTCGTTTCCGCAACAAAGAGCTTAGAAGCTCAACTCCCGCGGTGGTGAAAGAACTGTTCATTTCTTGATTTATAATTGTTGGATTATTATTGATAAATTTCGATTAAATTAAAGACTTCTGAATTCGTTTTATTTTAACTTTATTTTTTATTCCTCGAACAAGAGTTAATACTTCGGAAGTAGAACAATTTCTGACTTCTCGTTTTCCTCCAAGACCCTACGGTCCCATCCTGGGGGCCTCCGCCCCCACCCCCGAGTGCCAGAAAGTAAGGCGAAAGTACGCCTCTTTTACTCTAATTCGTTAAAAAGAGGAAAAACCCAAAAAGGCGGAAAAAGAAGGTGTTTCAGATTTTTTCTAACTAGTCCATGTAGTAGGGATGACGAAACAAAAGCATCCCTTTTTTTATTACACAGACAAAAAAAGGGTCTTGGGGTTTTATGGTAACCAGATGAGCGATTTCTCAAGTTTCTTTAAGAAGCAATATAACCATAAATGTGAATTTCTAAAACGTGACAAATAAGTAAAACATGTGCTTATTTTTAGTGTAATACTCAAAAATAATCCCGAAATATTTATTGCAGGAAGGATTAAGGCAGTAGTCTCCTTTAGAAGCCGAAAAAAGCGTTTTTTCAGCAATTTTTTTGAAAGGGAAGGAAATGATTGCGGTAAACGAAATTTTTCGGTGATATTCTATTATATTTTAGCTAAAAAAAACAATTTTTATTATTAAAAAATATTGAAATTCTTCTAAGTTATAATAATTTTTGTGGAGCGCCTTCAGTCTGCACTTGCAAATCGGTGCCGGTGATGGATGTCGTGCAATTCATCTGAAACAGTCAAACCAAATTTTTATTTAATTTTTATAAGTTTCTTTTCTATTTGAACTAAAAAAATACCGAAGAAGTTATAAAATTCCAAATTTTTTCCAAGTTTAAAAAAAAATCCACTTTAAGTTGCAAAAGAAGTAGTTTTAATAATACTTTTGTCCAACTATTTTAGTTCAAATAGAAGGTAATTTAATACTGAAGCTAGATCACTTTGATTTTTGTCGATCGGACAAATATTGTTTTTGCTATTGCCGGCACCGTTTTCTATGACGTGTGAAAATGAAAATTCGAGAAAACGCGCTTTAAAGTTTTCGGTCCAAAAAATATAAGTTTTTGGATACTTACATTAATTAAATGTTAATCAGCTATTCCTGGTCCATACAGCAATCCTTCCTCATCTTCGAAGAACTCATTTTGGCGGAGGCTTTTGTATTTGAGTTTACTATTTTTTCCACTTAAGATTATTTGAATTAAACCGCGAATTTATTGCTGCCTCTATCGAGAGAGGAGCGTATCGTATCATGCACATACGTCACAACAAAGGATAACTAACGCCATCTATTTTTTTTAACCTCGCACTATTCACTACTCAAAACAACAAATATTCTTCATAGTATAGTTGAAAATATAAATTTTCTATAAATACAAGAGTATCTTATTAATTGTTAGAAATAAATAACAGTTTTTTGTTAGTTTTGATAAAAAAAATCGGACACTTAATAATAATTATATTGGAGCCCGGATAACTCAGTCGCCCGGATAGCTCAGTCGGTAGAGCATCAGACTTTTAATCTGAGGGTCCAGGGTTCGAGTCCCTGTTCGGGCGCTCTTTTTTACTCTTATTAAATTGCGTCATTAAAATCAAATTTTTAAATTTGTCTTTTTTGGAATTAAATATATTTACCGTAAAATATCTTCCTCAATTTTTAATATCTAATAAAAGAGCCGGAAAGAAGAACTCGCTAAGCGCGTGGACGCACGCATTAATACCACTCGGGTAGAACTGAAAAATCACTGCTCCTCGCCTGGTATCAGAGCGGACAACCGCGCGCTCGGCGAGTTCTTCTTTCCACCTCCCAGGCTCAATTGCAACTGAAACCTTTTGGTTCAGAAACGTTTTAAATAAGGGGTCATCCATAAAGCATGTGATACTTTAGGGGGTGGGGGGAGGTCAGCAAAATATCACACTCCATGTTAACTGTTAATGGAAAAAGCATCATGAGGGGGGAGGGGGTCTATATTACCAAAAATATGTATCACATGCTTTATGGACGACTCCTAATGAGATTATTAAAATTAAATTATTTTTACCATTCCGGGAATTAAAAACTATGCAAATAAAGATTTTAAAAAATGTCGAGAACATTAGAATTACTTTATTAACTGTATTTTTACACTAGTCTTAATAATATGATTACTTTACTTTTTTGCAGGTTGTAACAATTCATCAAACATCTTCATTTCCTCTGAAATTTTGAAAAATACATAAAAGAACATTAATAATATATCATTATATTAAAACTTTACATTGTCGGAGCTACTGTAGTACAACATAGCTGCAAGTTCTTTAGGGACAATCAATCAATTGTTTAAATCAAAATCAAGTTGCACAAAAAGTATCCTTAAAAGGAACTTGCGAGATACGCGGTATTGCAGTCGCTTTGACGATATTAAACTTTTCTACTAATCAATTACCTGCAAGCTGGATTTTCTTCTCAGCAGCAAGTTTTGCTTCTCTTGCAGGCCTCTCTCGTTCCTCTATTTCTCGAAGCATTGCTTCCCTCTTACTGAATTTGTTATGATTATAAATCCCGTAGACTATCCCGGTTACAAGAAAGGTCCATCGACAAGCCTTAAGAAATAAACCAATAAAAATTTATTATGTTGATCAATATTATACATTCTGAAAGCTTAGACTATTTTTTATTTTACACAATTTTTTAATAGAAAATCTACAACTCAAGCCATTAGGAAAATAATGTTGATTAAATAAAACTTTGCTTTTTTTTAAATTATCAAAAACTTACATAATTAATATATTTAATAGTTAGAACCATTATTATTTACTTTACAGTTTAAGGATTGAAATATTTACTTATTCATTGGAAAAGTATCTGCAGCACTTAATTATTAGAAATAATAATTAAAACAATAAGAACAAAGTTTAGTTACCTTTATTAAAGGAGAAACTCGTACAGGTCTAGGATTCAATTCTACAGACGACATATTTGCTGACTTTAGCTGATTTTGATCACAGTGATCACTGTACAGTAGAGCAATTGTTGAAAAAAGAAGGTTGCAGGTGCAGTCACATTAGGGTTGTGTATTCAGGTTGAGTTTACAATAGTAATGGTGCGCTCACAACTAGGCAACAATGAAATATATTTGCTTTCTCATTCACTCCAATTGCTGTCTGCACAGGCAGCCGAGTTGTGGCAGCTCCATTAAGGCGCTAGCACAGCTCCTACTGCCTGCCTGCCTGCCTGCAGGTTGACATGGTAACACATAAGAGTAAGAGAGTCAGAAAATTCAAATTAAATGTTTTTTCTCTCTCACTCTTATGGCGCCTGCCTGCGCAGGCAGGCAGGCAGTAGAGGTGAGAGTGTACCTTAAACCTCTACAGAGGTTAAGCATTGTTCACAACTCGTATATGAGACAATGACAAGCGTGACGTATTTTTAATTACGTTTTTCTACTGCACCAGCAGTCGTTTCTACTAAACAATATACATTTTGTGTTGCAGACCCAGTCGAATGGTTTGCTTTGTTTTTCTTATTTTATTATAAAACAATAATTTAATTAATATTTTGTGTATCGCAGATAAATGTTATATGCATTTTAAACTAATTGAATATTAAAAAAAATTTAATTTTAGTTTACTTTTAGTTGTCTCTAAAGGTATACATTTTTTCAGGTCAGCTAAAAAGATGATAAATTCTATATTTCTAATAACAAACTGATGCAACAATTATTAGTGAACGTAATGAGAAATATATGATAATTATGTTGTGCGAACTATGCAAGCAGTGGATTTATAAACTGAAAGTTAAGAAGTAATCTTAAAAGAAAATACATGCATTGTATTTGTTAAGAGAATTATTGTTCCAGTGATCAATGTAGATTGTCACTATGTTTTAACATCCGTATTGACACTACAAATGAAAAATATCTACAGTGAATAGTTTGGCAGTGACGAATCATAAAAAATGGTAAGTCTACATCGTCTACATATATGATGTTATAAGGACAATTGTTTTTCACTCTAAAATATTTAAGTCTTCTTTTATTGATGAATAAACATCTGTTAATTTAAATATCCAGTTAATTATAACAAGTTATTAATTTTACATATGTTAATGCTGTAGAGTAGTGCATCTGTAAAGTCAGTTGAAGGAACGTATCATTTTTCCTTTATTCAAAACAAGTTTTATTTCTTGCTGAATTTAAAAAATTTTTTTTATAAAAATATAGTATAATATTACTTGATCACATAAGGTATTATATACAGCCGTAATTTACTTTTTAGTAAAAAAAATGTAAGATATTATATATTTTTATTAAATGTTTTAATTAATTCACTTGCAAAAAAACGTATTTTTTTTAATGAGTAATTTAAATTTAACCAAAAGCAAATAAGAGATAATGAGCTAAATATACCGAGTCATCCAGATAAGTAAACAATATAATATTATCAATTTGCAGAAATGTGGATAAAAAGAGTTAATTTTTCAGGTTGGTTTTTCAATTTAATTAAAAAAATTGTCAATATGAAATGAAATTGATATTTTAAATGCCTTGTACTGACATTTTTACATAAAATTATGAATAGTTTTCTGTTTCAAAGTAAAATATAGTGACAAAATTTTGAAAACTTTTGATAAATGCATTTTGTTATATAATAAGTGTAAATGAAAATTTTGCCTTCGTCTTACGTTTTGTACAATCATGTACAATTCTTATTTAATCATATACTTATTTATTAAAATTTTAATTTTTTTGCAACAATTAAGAGTAATATAATATAATATTTAAATATGTAATATAAAACTCACAAGCTTCTCTTTTGTTAGCATATTTCAGATGGTAGAGAAAAAGATGCGTATATACAGATTAGTTGACTATTCAAACAATTTTTCAAACTAAGTACTTTTTTATGTTTTTATTATTTATTAATTGCTAATTATACAGTTTGCAGTTATAAAGTTTTTTTTAAGCCGCTCGGCAGATATTTGACATCGTCAAACACGAATTAGTTTTAAGAGTTATTTCTGACTATTTATTGTTGTTTCATTAAATTATTAATTTTTCATTGGGAATACATATATAAATCATTTCTCCCAGTCCTATATTACTGCACCACCGAAGTAGAGCTATGAACCTAACAATATAGGTACATATTTGAGTATAATTTTCAAAGCAGATCAGCTCGATGTAATGGAGAAATTTCCACTGAAGGGTACATCATCAACATCATTCAGCAATAACGCACTAGCCACCTATCACTCGGTCGATGCCCAGGTAGGCATCATACTCCCTCATTCATTCTTAATTTAATTTTTATGCTTTTCTTGTATTTAAAAAGTTGTTTGATTCACTTTTTATTTTGTTTATTCATCATCAATTATTTCTTTATTTATATCAATAGGCTAACTGACAAGTATTATTGAATTTTCTTTTAAATTGGTTATAAGTTACTATTAGTTACTTAAAATTACTTAAAACAACTGACGTTTAATATCTCCCGATCGGCTCAGTCCATGATATTGCATAACTACAATTAACTGTAAACTAATTTGACATTACAGATGAGATCCTGTTCATAAGAAAACATAATTTTTTTTAAGTATAAATATTAAAATTGAGTAACAGAAGTTTGTTTCAGAATGGTAATGGAGTGAAAAATGGTAACTCGGATAATGCACGTTTGAGAAGTGGAGCAACAAGTCGAGTCGGAAGTCAAAGTAGCGATGAAGATATGCTCGTGGCAAATCAACAATCAGTTTCTCACAAATCAGGAAATAATGCTTATCTAGAGCGAAGTCTTCGTCTTGACGATGCTTCGTCGCATTGTAAGTATAGTAATAATAATTTATTTTGTGTTTACATTGACAGCTCATTGTTTAAAAATAGTTTCAGCCGATTCGGATGACATTCCTGGGATCGGTCAGTATGACGATTTTCATACAATTGATTGGCAAAGAGATATTGCGAGAGATCGGATGCGACATCGGTACATCTTGAAGAAGAAACATGACTCTATTTGGGATTTAATTAAGGGGGCCCATGATGCCTGGTCTGGATGGCTGTGTGTCTTGTTTGTCGGTCTTTTCACCGGAGTGGCAGCTGGTGTTATAGACATTGGCGCTTCATGGATGACAGATTTAAAATTTGGAATATGTCCCGAAGCCTTTTGGCTCAATAAGGAGCAATGTTGTTGGAGTTACAATGAAACAAATTTCGATGGAGAAAATTGCTCACAGGTACCGACTTGTAAAAATGAAGTTAAATTCTTTTAAAAATCCATTATGAGCTTTAAAGAAACATGTCTTTTTCAGTGGTTAACATGGCCTGAAGTTTTCAAGCAATCTAAAGAAGGAACTGGTTCAGACTTTATTTCATATTTGTTTTATGTAGCATGGGCTCTTTTGTTTGCGTCATTATCTGCCTCGTTAGTGAGAATGTTCGCCCCGTATGCTTGTGGTTCTGGTATACCGGAGGTGATTATAGATTTTACATTCTAAAAATAGTGGTCCAAATTTCAGAAATCTGTCATTAAAAGTTTAATTTTTTCCAGATAAAAACTATTTTAAGTGGTTTCATAATACGAGGATATTTAGGGAAATGGACTCTTATTATAAAATCTGTTGGTCTTATTCTGTCCGTGTCAGCAGGTTTAAACTTGGGAAAAGAAGGTCCGATGGTTCACATAGCCTGTTGCATAGGCAATATTTTTTCATATTTATTCCCCAAGTACGGAAGAAATGAAGCGAAGAAGAGGGAAATTTTATCGGCTGCTGCAGCTGCTGGTGTTTCTGTAGCTTTTGGAGCTCCGATTGGAGGTGTATTGTTTAGCTTGGAGGAGGTATTTATTTTCATTTATTTTCATTTATTTTCATTTATTTTCACAAAAGTTTTTAAATTATTGTTATTGAAATTAATGAAATATACATTTTAGGTCAGTTATTATTTTCCTTTAAAAACACTGTGGCGCTCATTTTTTTGTGCGTTAATTGCTGCTTTCGTGTTACGATCAATTAATCCTTTTGGAAACGAGCACTCTGTTTTATTTTATGTCGAGTACAATAAACCTTGGATATTCTTTGAATTAATTCCCTTTGTGATGCTTGGAATTATTGGAGTAAGTAATTATTGGAGTAAGCTTATATATTATGTGGATGTTTGTTTATGTTTTTTATTTAATATTTTGCAGGGAGTCATTGGTTCGCTATTTATTAGAGCAAACCTTTATTGGTGTCGCTATCGCAAAACCTCAAAGCTTGGTCAATATCCAGTCACTGAAGTACTGGCTGTTACTGTTATAACGGCAATCATTGCTTATCCGAACCGATACACAAGGATGAGTACCAGTCAGCTGATTTACTTACTCTTTAGGCAGTGTGGTGTGTCAAATGCCGATTTAATATGGTAAGTCTTTTCCCAAGGTTACACAAGCTTACAGTAGAGACATTGAAGAAATACCTTTTTCCTTTGTGCAATAGCGATTACAATCGAAATTTTACGAGTGTCGATTCGGGCCTTGACGTAGCAACGGCCGACGCGGGAGTATTTGATGCTGTATGGCTTTTGGTAATAGCGCTAATTCTCAAGTTCATCCTGACGATATTCACCTTCGGTATGAAAGTTCCTTGTGGTCTATTCATTCCATCGCTGTGTTTCGGAGCAATAATTGGACGCATTGTGGGCATTGGCATGGAACAACTCGCGCACAACTATCCTCACATTTGGATGTTCAGCGAGGAATGCTCTACTGGTGTGAACTGCATCACGCCAGGATTGTATGCCATGGTCGGAGCTGCTGCGGTTCTAGGAGGTGTGACAAGAATGACCGTTTCGCTGGTTGTGGTCATGTTTGAATTGACTGGCGGTGTCAGGTACATTGTTCCCCTGATGGCAGCTGCCATGGCAAGTAAGTGGGTCGGAGATGCGCTTGGCAAACAGGGAATCTACGACGCTCATATTGGACTCAATGGTTATCCATTTTTAGACAGCAAAGATGAATTTCAACACACTACTTTAGCTGCTGATGTCATGCAACCCAAGTTAGTGACAATTTTTAGTCAACTCTTAGTAAACAAGTTTCTTAATTTTTTTACTATATGTTATTTATAACTAAAAAAATGTCACTTTTCTTTCAGGCGCAACGAAGCATTACACGTACTTACACAGGATTCAATGACAGTTGAAGATGTGGAAACTTTGCTGAAAGAAACAGAACATAATGGATTCCCAGTTATTGTTTCTAAAGAGTCACAATATTTAGTCGGGTTTGTTTTAAGAAGAGATCTGAACTTGGCTATCGCAAATGCAAAGCGAATGATGGAAGGTATAACACGACAGTCTCTCATTCTTTTTACGAGTGGAAGCAACATTCAATCTCATGGTATGCCACCGCCTTTGAAACTAAAAAAGATTCTCGACATGGCTCCCATAACTATTACGGATCAAACTCCAATGGAGGCTGTCGTGGATATGTTTAGAAAATTGGGACTGCGACAAACACTTGTTACTCATAATGGGTAAGAATTATACAATATTTTTAAATCATTTATTTCCTATCCTTCCTCGTAAATAATTAGTTATCAATTTTATTTTTTTCAGCCGATTACTAGGAGTTATTACTAAAAAAGATGTCTTAAGGCATGTAAAGCAATTGGATAATGAAGATCCCAATTCTGTATTATTTAATTAATTACATCATATTTCATTTTAAATTCGAAAGGAACATCATTAAACAATAGTAAAATTAGTAATAATAATAATAATAATAATAATAATAATAATAATAATAATAATAATAATAATAATAATAATAATAATAATAATAATAATAATAATAATAATAATAATAATATTATTATTAATTATTATTATTATTATTATTATTATTATTATTATTATTATTATTATTATTATTATTTACGTTATTTAATTTTAATTCAGTTTTATTAAAATGGTAAAAAATAATTCGTTAAAAACTGTTCAATTTTTAAGATTTTGACTTGAACCATGTCATACCGAAGAACTAATAATTTAAAGATGAAATGTTTATCGTCGATATTGATTAATCTGAAATATGTATGTGTAAATCAAATGAAAAATTCGAATATGACTTTTCTTAATTCACTGAATTTAAATCTATATAAAATAAGGTGAATGATTTTTTTAAAACTTAATTTTTAATCTAGATAAACTGTAAAATTATTTAAACAAATTTATTTATTGATAATATCGTCGCGTGTTAATAAAGACCCCTTTAATGTTTAAAAAAAAATAACAGATTTCGACATAAAAATATTCTAGGTCCATCTACATGTCTCAGAAAGTAATATGCCAATAAAACTTTGGTACACAACTAATTTTTACCTTGTGCCTAATTTAAAGAGAATTTTTTTATCAAAATAATCATTTAATTTTTAGTATAAAATGAAGAATTATTTTTAGCATGAAATATTATTTTTTTAGATCGAAACTGTTTTAAAAGACAAATTAGCTAATTATGTTTATTTTGTAAGAAAAGCATATATACCTACTTGATGTAAAAGTATGTATTTAAAACACAATATTTGAAAAGTGGAATAAAATTGTTATAAATACTCGCACCGAAGCTTTTTTCAAAAGTGTAAAAGAGTAATGCTGAAAGAAAGGACAGGTATTAGGTATAATAATCTCTTGAACAGATATATAGTTTATAAGTTTACTTTTTCAAAAAGTAATTTATTCTTGTTGTTGTAAACAAACAATTGTGTATTATACAGTGAGAAATGTGGATATTTAATTTCAAATTTCTAGATAATATACATACAATAAATATTATTAATTATGGTTGCAAATATATACATTTTATTTAGATATTAATTTTGAATATCTACTTCTCTCTCCGTTGATATTGCGTCTACTGGTATAATTTTAAAAACTATTGCATAATTATATGATACAAATTTGTAAATATCATATGGCATAATAATTTACATGTCTTCTAAGTGTGTCAAATATGAAGATTGCAGTCACACTTTGTAAATTGTCTTCTTTATTTTCTCCCTCAATGCACCTATTTTTGAATCTTGAAAATGTTGTGCTGAAGCAAATTGTCATTCCTCTGATTATATGTAATGTAGAATGCTTGCTGTCACACTAGTCACTCAGTCAGAGGCTGACAAAATATGAAATACTCTTACCTCATTTGTACCTTAATGTATTCTGCAAGACTTTGCCGCTCTGTTATAATGTTCCACCAGCCCATCGAATCTACTCTATACTTAACATATGTTAAGGAAAAATTATCGACTCCCCTATTTAAAAAAGGAAAAAATGGAATTTTTAAATCGTTGTCGTTGTCGTTGTCATACTCTTCTATCTGCATGTTTAACATGCTAAACATCTTCCGTAGAATGCGAACCAAATTTTATTTATTTTAAAATTTGTTGCAATAAAATTAGTATAATAAATTATTATAATTAATAGTGTAAGAATTGAATCTTTTTTAAATTAAAATGCGCTATTACATGAGAGTTTTAAAATAATTATATAAACATATGAAAAAATTGGGTAAATTTTCCATCTTTTACTGAATACTGAGTCAAACAGTTATGAAGCTTAAAGGCTTAATTTGATTTTAAAAAATGACTAATTAGCGAAATTGGCGGATTATCGGCATCGTGTTGTCGTTGTGTGTTTGAAATTTAAAGGAGAAGGGGATTCCCCAGTAGAGAGGGTCAGGATAGGTTGGTAAAGGTGGAGGAAGGCATCTCAATGGCCGCCTGGACTCGTGCCCGAGACAGGCAGTTACCGAGGAACCGTTGCCTTGACGACATGCATGTACGCATGCGCACGTGTTGTTCACGATTTTTTAGTTCTTCTCTTCCACAAATTACGCGCACGCGCGCCATTTAAATCTGTTCGCCACCCTTCCTCAGTTATTTAATCAAACACCTCTTTTTTGTTTATTATATTTCATATACTTGATCGGCATCTAAGGACTCACTTTTTCCTTTTATGTGCTGTCACACACCTCTTCTTCCTCTATTGCAACTGAGTTACTTTTTCGCATCTCCTGCCCTGACATTCTTCCCTCGATATTGAAATCACTAAACCACCTTAAATTCTCTCTGCAAATTAAACTATCACCGTCTTCAGATCCTAAAATTCCTCCCCACCACCAAGTCCTCCTTCAAATATCCTTCGGCTCGTAGTGTCGCGCGCCACCCGCCACATATTAACCGCAGTTATTGTTCATGTTGGTGAGAAAACCCTTTCGATTTAAATGGAGAACAAATTTCGTATTAGTTGATACATGCCTGTCAAATATGTCGTCAGTCAAATATGTTAGAAATGATTAATTAACTCGGCACGTGGTGATTATTACAAAAAACGTAGTTTTTGCCAATTGTAAATATTACTGACTGTCCTGATAATGGAGTTTTCGGATACGAGTGGAGTTATTTTTCGTGTAATGTTGAAAACAACTGCGTGAGTTTTAAAGAACAAGTTTTGAAAATTTTATTCGAGTGCTAGCTTATTATAAATACAAGTTATACTTGTTGATATCAAAATACAGTCTATATTAATTTGACCGACAAACGTGTTTTCTCAGGATTAAATGAATGCAAAAAGAAGGCTTTTCAGGGCTTTCAAGTCTGGTGTTTTAAATAATAAAGACTTATTTTTGTGCAGAATATTGAACAGTTTTGTGATTCTTGGTGATCAGTGCTTGCTACGGTTGTTATTGAATATCAATGACAGTGTTTACAAGATTTGGATAATATTTTCATATAAGGAACTGACTTAAAATGAATAAGTCAATGTCAATTTGTTTATTTATTCCCATAAATAAGGAGCATCAGAAAAGCCAAAGAGATTTAAAGATGAGAGTTGTCCATTAACGAGAAGTGTCAAGTATGTAAAAGAAGGCAAGAAATCGAAGGAGAAGAGAGAAAGGTTGATTTTCGAAGGTACTTGAATGATTCGAGAAAGCTTTAGAACCGAAAGAGAATCATTTTGGGAGTGCAAAGAGGGATTTGAGCAATTGAATTATCCCGAAGAGACAGGAAAATTGTACGATTCGCCACCGCCTCCCTGCCCCCGCCGGATGGACGTAAGCGTGTGCTGTTTGCCCATTGCCGGCTCGGGGGCCCAACACCCTCAACATCCAGTCACTTTGTCCTCCGCAGGTCAACCTACCATACAAACATCTTATCAATATACCGATCAAATAGTTCCTGAAAGGGGCCATGCTGACGATCTCACTATCCTTACTACCAGTACCGGTCAGGATAACTGGCAGCACGTATCCTCAACGTCAACAGTTCCTAATGCTACGTCAACAACAACAACCACAACCACCAACACCACTGCTTACATTGACTATTCATGGCTGCAGATGCAGGTAACATTTCTCAAACCTCATGTTTTAAGCATAAAGCATAAACCTTTTGCTCTAAAGAAAATGTGGAAACGATACCTATACCTATTAATAGTATCCACAGTTTCCTCAAAGTTGAAAATAATTAACTAGACTCTTGAAACTTGAAGAAATCCCTTAAATATACACTGCTTTCAAGGTTTTACGTGGAACGCAACGATAAGTTTCTCTAGAATGGCGAAAGTCATCTTAACTGAAACAATAGTGAAATTTGTACCTATACTTGCATGTTAACGTTTAAAAAAAGTTATTGGTTCCACCAACATTGATTAAATCCTTAACCGTCCAATCGTGAGCGGTTAAATTGACTTTAGATTAACTTTTAATCGGGGTTGTTGAGACAGGCTTTTGAAAAATTACTTTTCATGAATTTCATGAGCTTCGCTATTATAACTAAAGATTTCGAAGGCGGGTTACAGTCCAGTTAATTTCAACTTTCAGGAAGCTTTTACTGCTTTTTGTGGGTATAATTATATTATTTATTTAAATATACAGGTTAACAAACGAATCATTCCATTTTAAAATCACAATGGCATGCTTCGGTCGGTTTTATTCAATCTATAGAATTTCAGAAGAAAAAACCTTTGAAAAGAACATTTTCTGTCAAAATACTTATATGAGCTATATTATAATTATGAGGTTTGTGAAAATTAACTGGAATTTTAAAAAAGCTTGCCAAATATTAATCCAAACAATATAGTTATAATTTTCACTACTTATCCTAAATTTTTAAATGATAAGTATAAGCAAGCAGTTTAGTATAATTAATCGACAAGAAAATCGCATTAAACGAGCATTTTGATGTAATTACATATTTATCTTATACATAAAAAGTAACACATTAAAATAAGGGAAAGGAAGTTGACGATTATTGTATCCGGTAAAAATTAAAGGCGACCTATGGTGACCGGATGAATCGTTTCCATGGTTCAGCTATTTTCGAGGGTTACAGCCCTTTGCTTTTCTTTATTTTCTCATACACACATATTTATTGATATTATTTTATAAAGGAATTCCATTAAACACAACAACAAGTTTTAATTTATAACAAATCTTCTCCAAAATATAAACCATTTCACTTTTATAGTTTACACTGAATTATAACACATTGTTTATTTGCTCTGAATATAAATTCACTATAAAAAGGTTTATAGAAAAATTTTTTTATTAGTATAATTTTATATCCCACTGAATCACTTTAATTTTATGATGCAAAAGTCTGAGAAAAACTTCTCTTCACTCTTTGTGCACAATTCTACTTGACAAAAAAGAACTGTCAATTTAAAACTGATTTTGCTGTGATAACAAAAATCAGTTTAAAGTTGAAAATTTAAAATTGTCTGTCCCTATTTTAATAAAGAAATTTACAGCTAACCTCTTATATGCGTGTTTTTGGCAAATCTTATTGTAGCTCATCAGAAAACGTGTTTCTTCTCAAAATCTCACTCTTTCCTACATCATATTCTGTTTCCTATATAGCATCTTTCACTTAGTATAACAATCACCACAGATTAGAATTATACATTCGTTTACCTGATTCAAATTAAGAAAGTAGATGTTTCTCATTTTTATTATTACAATATGTAATTAAATAAATTATATTTACTGTAAAATTAGGTCACTAACAATAAGTCATATTTCACTAATGAATTAGTAAAATGTCACTATTTATTTATTGGTAATAGGTATTAATTCATATTTAATAGGGAGTGGGAAAATTATTATTATCTTATTATTATTTAACATTGAAAATTATACCTTTTATGAAAGAAACTAGGGCAATATATCTTAGAATTATGAGAATTATTTGAAACATTAAGTGGACCGTTTTAAAAGGACTACAATTTTTATTGTTTTTATTGTAAACAGATTGTTTACTTATACGTAGATTGCTGCAGGAAAACGAAGTAATAATCTGTAATAAGGCGGTCGAACCGGATCCATGACCATGAACATACTTGATTATTTCAATTAGATTAGTAGAATTTGAAAATCGCATAATTAATAGAGATCTTAATTGATAGTCTATAAAAGACTGTATGTATGTACACACGCATAATAGTACGTACGTATCAATAATGTATATTCCATCAGATTAAAATAAAAATGAGTTTGTGATTGAGAATTTGATTGGCAGAACTTATATATCAGCGCAATAATAAATAATTCGTCTACATATGAACAAGCATTGTCCTGCACCTACACTCTTGTTGGCACGTCGGTCGCATCGGCCGAGCTGTCTTGTGAAACCATCACTGCAACGGTTTAATATATACATATACAAGAATGTAAGCCAGCCAAACCAATGTTACGGACAATTTACTCTAAAAATTAGTTACAAAACGCTCTCAAACTATCTACCCATCAGGCACTTCCTCTTCCTCTACGTTAAATAGACGGATGACCATTAAATACCGAGAGTGGAGAAGAGTTATTGTTCACAGACTACCATAATGGATTTGTACTCATTTAGCCTCTGATTGGTCCTTCACACAAGTCACAATAATCGTTTATAAAGATGATGAGATGCGTCAGAACTTAATACGCAATGTGCCCTCTTGTCTATTTCACATAAAGATAAAGACGATTAGTGCTTGTCATCTTGAGCAAAGTACTAGTACAGGCAAAATTTAGGGTTTTATATTATTTTGAGGCTTTGCTCAAGTTTTAACTGACTAATTAAATGTAAAAATCTGTCTGTTTATGAAAATCAAAGTTTAAACATGCACGAATAATAATCTGATGTAAACACCATAGGCTGATTTGATTAAGATTTTGTGAGCGGCCAGGAAATATGCGTGATGTGCACCGCCAAGCATGAAAGTCCTAACGAATACCCAGTAATTATTACTTACACATGTTCACATTACCTGCATTTATTTAAATGAACATAATTTAAAAAACGAATATATATTTAGTGTGACGAGTAAATGTCAAGAAAAAAAATCAGTTTACTTGATTTTTCTTTTACGCTTCCTATTTAAATGAAAAAATGATAAAGCTCGCGTACAAATTTCTATGATTGTACATTAAGCATTCCATTTGCTCCAACTGTCACCCTTGTCACTGCTTGTCACCCTTATAATCGCACTTTAGAGAAAACGTTTTTTCTAATTTCAGTTCGCAGAAGTTTGTGAATAGCCAATGACACAGGATTAATACCATTCATTGAACAAAGTATAGTTTTTATTTCTACAACATGTATACCATACAATCTTTTACAACTGTATTGGTGTAAATAGTGTATTAAAAACATAAAGGACGCACAATTGTTCAGGATAATGAGGCTATCGGTTTGACAGGAAATTACTTGGCACTCTAATTGTGTGTTATTGCATCCACGACCTCCATGTGTTTGTTTGTAAAGCATCAACCTATTTTATTATAATCGCCTTCATTTTAATCATTCAACATTGCATTATATATTGCAATTATATATTGCAATTTATGTAGTCAAATATTTTGGTTCTCAAAAATTAGCTAAATTCCCCATAATTTGATCTTCAAAAGATGTGCATAGATAGAAATGTATAGAAGAGCTTGATATAATACTAAACTTTTACAAGGAAGACGAAAAGTAAAACCTAATTGTCCTTTACACATCACTAAATGGTAGTATGATACGTAGGTACGAAATATAAGGTTATCGCTGACCAGATTGAGCATAATGCAAGCGCAGGATAACGGTACAAAACGCAAGAAAGTACAGCGAGGTCGCTGCGCGGCAGCGGAATAACCAAGTAACTTAACCAGCCTCCGCCCAGCTATAGCAATAAACGCCTTTATCTCTATTTCTCCTTATCCTCTTCTCTTTTATTGGCTATTTTTCTTTTTTATTTCAATCTTTGAAATTAACATTATTATAATTGTATTATTTTATATTTATACTTGGTGGAAAAATTTACATATTGATGTGTCAATCGAGTCTATGCGGTTTAATCACGCCACACCGTTCAAAAATATACCACCAAGATATGTTTTCAAGTTGTGTCATTCATTCCTCTTTTCCCCTATAAAACGCTTCTGTCAACTAAGCGCATGAATTTACCAATTACAGAATTGGATAGTACAGATTATGTTCTCTATTAAATTTGAAAAAGTGATGATTATCAATAGTGAATTTAGGATTTGTCTCAAAAAATAAGACTTTCTTTTTAGGGGCCATCCATAAACTACGTTACCAATTTAGGGGGAGGGGGGGGGGGTCAAAGAATATGCAAAATTGCATTAAACGCAATGGTAACGAGGGTGGAGGGGGTCTAAAAAGTCTGAAAAATTGGTAACGTAGTTTATGGACGACCCCTTACTGTGCAGTACAGCAAAAGCCGCGATAGTTACATCGATTTTGCTATAATTGCTCATTAACCGTCACACCAAAACTTGTATTAGCAAACACTTTAAGGCTGAGTCCAGAATAGCTAAAAATCGTCTCGACTTTCAAGACGATTCGATGCGCGTACATACATTTTTGCTTACTGCGCATCGAAATCGAGACGATTTATTTGATTGTGGACTCAACCTAACTGTAAATAAATGACATTTGCTTCAAACATTGAAATTATTGGTTCAAATACAATTGAATCAAATAAAAGTCATTTGATTCAAGTAAATACTTATTTGATAAAAGTATTAAAATTATTTAATTTTCGGAAACTGATGTTATAAAAATTAATATTTTTCATATAAGTGAACTGCAGGTCATCCAAGTATAACTTGAAACAGACAGACCCTGGAATTCCACATGAAATTGCAGAATTTGAAAAGTATCTTGCATTACGAATATTACGAATATTTAATTGACACTTTTAATTAACATCTATTATTGACTGCATAGATGTTTCTGAAGACCTCTTGTCCGAACCGTACAGTATACGTCGTTTCTCTCATTATGATATACGAATAGCAGTAACTATATGCTACTAATATACAAACCTTGCACCAACTATGAAAGTACGTTATTTATT